TCAAAACGAACTATGGTGGACTGGTGCAATTTCATCCGTGAAGTTTGTTCAGAAGACCTAATTGGCAGAAAGAAAAAGATAGGAGGTACAGATCATGTCGTGGCCATCGATGAGACGCACCTGGCAAGACGAAAACCAGCTACAAACAGACAAGGTAGACCAGTGAAAGCATTGTGGATTTTTGGAGGAATAGATTTGACGACAAAAGAGTTGTTTGTAGAGATAATCCCACCGGAAGTAGGACGAACAAAAGAGATGATGGAACAACTAATAGTGAACCATATAGCGGATGGAACGACAATCTGGTCAGACATGTTTCCGTCGTATAACAATATAGAAAACCTTGGAAGGGGGTATACTCACAGAGCGATAAATCATTCATACATGTACGTCACCCCCGAGGGTCACCACACCCAATATATAGAATCGATTTGGGCGGATGTAAAGAGGAAATGAATGCGTATGAATGGAGTGCCACGGCACCTGATTCCTTCATACCTCGACGAATATCTGTGGAAAAGGCAGTACCCAAAAAACGAACATTTCGACAGAATATTAGAAGCCATTAGCACCAACCCAAGATACAATGTAGATCCAGAAGGAGGAGAAGGCACTAACTGAATGTTTATGTCTTTTTACAGATGTTAACTAACAAACTAGGAAATTGTGAATATATGCACTCGAAAGAAGAAATAGATGGCTTGGCTGTCCGACGCTCCAGTGATTTTGGATTCGGATTGGTCAACGTTTTTCCTATTAATATTAAGTATTGTTGCCTTGTTTTGGCACTGTTTAGTCACGTGCTACTGGTGTCGAAGGAAACGACCGCAGTTAGAGATGTGGGAACCGTAACAGCCGGCGTAGCAACAATAAATGATGCTCGTGTAACAAATGAAAACGAACTAAGATCGCCCCTTTGGAAAAGAATACAGAATACTACCTGGAAAAAACTTAGTTTGACATCTTGTTGGAATATAAGTGAAGAAAAACCGGTGTTTGGGAATCCGGGATTGTTTTTTTCTTCTAATTTTGGATACGTCGTCGCGGAAAAAAGACATACCAAGAAAAGATATACCCGAAAGGAAGGTTTTGGTCGGATCCGGACGAATTGGAAAGGAGTTGCCTATGTGAACGAACTATAAGCTATATTACGACGTCCCTAAAAAGTGACAGGATGTGGAGTTACGCAGAATATCGCCGCGGCACTGGACCCGATTTACGACACATATGGAAATGGGAAAATGGGCCAAGTATTACACGATGGGAAAATCTCAGATAATTGACTGGAATGACGGTGTATAAAACTATGATAATTAAAATTCTACACTACTGTGATTGCAAATTGTACGGCAGCGAGATATGAAGTGGAAGAAACTATTGTGGTACCTGTGCTCGGAGAAGGTTTGAGAGGCGTTAATTATGAGCGGCAGCAGATGAATACATCTTACTTCTATGCAACCAATATCGTGGGGGACGAAAGAGTTGTCACGTGGAAACATACTACATGTAATTTCGTCGGAAAAAAACTGGAGTTTGAACCAACGTCAGGTGATTTCTTGATTCAAGAATGGGACCCGTGGTATGATAGAAGAAAAGTTTTGAAGTCTACGAACTATGAGGATTATGTCCGGAGATACAGTAACAGCGGACGAACGACGTACCCTTGGGCGGCAAATATTTGGCAAAAACGAAATGCCTTCATAGGTCTGCAGCCACTCGGACCAATAAGTGGATGGAGCCCTCGAATAAAATGGTTAGAATCTACAGATAACGTGTTTAATTTAACAAGGGATGGATCAATAAAAATTAAACAAGGTTCGAGGTCGTATTATAGCCAGTATCCGTCGATGATGAAAGAAGACGTGAAATGTAAAAGAAGAATAGACCAGAATACGAATTGCAAATATCCAGTAGGAGGGGTACGGGCAAAACTCAGATTTTGGACAAAGGTGGAATACGACCCTTCAAACAACATATCGAGGTTCCCTGGAACACCCTTGTGGTTGCATGGAACGGGAAACGGCGAATGGGACAATGACCAACTAAGATCGAAATCGATGTATCGAAGGATTGGAACACAAAGGGTAAAAAGGCAGTTCCTGGGAGCGGCGGCTCTGTCATTCGCAACAGCGAATAGGGTATCAATCAATAATCTTCGTAACGAAATGAACCAGAGAATGTCAGAGATGACGAGTGAAATGAACGAAATATTTACGCAAGACGAAGGGAAGATGCAATTAATAGCGCAAAAATTGAATCAATTGTCTATAACCAGTTATATTGAAGAAGAAAGATTAAATGATGTTATTGTGTCAATGATTAAAGAACAGGAAACGAGCGCCGAAAATCGAGAATGGCTTTCCGAGGAGATATCAAAAACCCAAGAGATCGAACTGGCCGAACTAGATACCTTCATACACGCTATAACCGACATTAGGGCTATGTCATTGGCAGAACTGGCATTAGACAAACTGGTAATGCAGGTATTAAAGAATGCTACGGGAAAACCCCTATTTGATAAAACTAAAGGTTATTTGACACGAATACAAAAGGGGCAATTGTACTTAAAGGAATACGCTCAATTGATTAGTGCACAAAAGACAGAAGTGAACGAGACAATCCAGAAAGAATTAAAGCAGGCCGAAAAACAACGTGAATTGTTGCAGAATGCGTCAATTAAGGAAGAAACAGCTAAAGGGATCTGGGTACAAGCAGTAAACAATACGACAATTTTGCTCAATACGACGGGATGGAAGAGAAAAAATATAACCTTTATACCGTTAAATGACACATTTGGTGGCGATATATTATCCGGACTAGGAACAATAACCAAAACCATAGGAGGCGTGATCACCAAGGGAGTAGAAGGGATCGGGAAAGTTCTCGGAAATGGTCTATTTGTAATTATCAAGCCGTTTTTGAAGTTTCTAATACCCGTTGCAGTCGTTATTGTGGCAATGATCCTGGTTTGTTGTTTCTTGCAATATCACCCCAACTGCAGGAGAAATAAGCAGCGATTGTCGGAAATATTGCAACTATCGGACAGGAGAGGAAAAAATTGGGCAAAAGGTATTGCAAAGAAGGGAATTACAAAGACATTATTAGAGAACGATGCAAAAACCATGGCGGAATTAGCTATCTAGCACGAAAGTGTGAATTCGATTGACCAGACTAAATTCAATGGACCTATTTTGAAAGGAATGCTGACCTAACGGACTTTATATATTTTATTTATTTGATGAACTATCATGTTTTGCAAACCCTCTGCACATATTTGCAGAAAGCGCGGGTTTATGACCTGAGCAAACGCGAGTTACACAATTCAATTCCCGGAAGCAATAAATGGGATGACTCCCACAATAGGATGATAAATATGAGAGAGATTTTTTCTCTTTCTCGCGTGCAACTATAATGAAATAACCAAGTGAAAGCGAATAAATATGTGACCAACGACACACCCAGATCCATATAAAAGAAGGAAGTGTTGAGGACAGGACTGCACTACTTTGAAGCAGAAATTTATTAAAGGGACAAAGTTAGAAGTTGAATAAGTTTAATTAACACAGTGCTTACAATGGGAAACAGTCTTCAAATTGAAAGGATCGAGGATACTGGAGAATATCAGAAAGTAACGGTACTTGTAAAGAAACCGAGGAACTCTATCGATGTCTTTACACCGGCAGAGACTAATTTTACAGAAAATCTGAAGATTAATGATGAAGGAAGCCCGGCGCGAGTTGTTAATTTGGTGAATAAAGCGTTGATGCAAACACCAACCGTTCAGTCACAGGAGTTATCACCGGATAGAATTAAGAGATCTGGTGTGTCAAGATCATCTGAAAGGAAAGAAGAGATTGACTACATAACTGAATGGTTGCGAACCAGTGACGATGAAATAACAAAGTTACCTGAGACACCGAGCAATTCTCGCGCTTCTTCAAGATCGGGGAGGGAATCAAATCAGAGGATTGTCGTGGCTACGAAGAGAAAACATGAAGAACGGCCGAAACCTAAAATATAAATTAAACGGATACGAAGTCCATTGGCTGATAGAATAAAGCATCTTGAACAACCGAGTAAAATTTTGAAAGTAATCAAAGAAGGGAAATGTGACAACCACTTGAGAAGAATATTTCTCTATGAAGGAAGAAATTCAAGAAGATGGGAAAGGTTTAAGGAACTAAGAAACAACAAATGGAGATTAGAAAATGCGCCTCCATATCATGCCAAGAATGAAGAATATTATGAAGTAATCTCCTATGGCAAGGATTTCGTCGAACGAAAGTATATAAGGACAGAAATCGCTAGGGAAATCGGGGATTTTGGAGAACGAGTAAAGAGGGATTTATTAACGGATGTAATATACCCAGAACTGATAATAAGGGCGTTGACGATAATTGAAGAAACCAGCAGACGGGAAGCAGAAGATAAGTACTTAGAAGCCCCGAAAGTCATAAGCAATAAAGTTATGGAATCAGAAAAACAGGAAAAAGATATATTGTCATTAACTCTTGAAGACGAAATGAATATTGAATAAATCCCCTATTGTCAAAGAAACCCCTATTGTGTTAATAACATCGTGTTCATGGTCCAAATCGTAACTGGAATTTTATTTTTTTTGTTTATGTGATAATATCGTAAGATTAATGTTTAAAAATTAATGAGGAACAATGAAGTGTAACTAACTTGTGTTTTATTTTTATTGCATGCCTATTATCATGTATACGTATTGCTATAAGTGTTTTTTTTTTCTGTAATGCTTATGTAATGGTGCATATCTCAACTTGTAAATTTAAAACCCTATATAAACACAAAAAAAAAGTTAAAAAATGAGATATGAATAAAACGTCATGCAACCCTATACCCCGATGTCTTTGTTGTTGAATTAGGTGAAATGAAATGGTAATACCTTGATTGATTTTTTTAATGTAATGTGCGTTGTTTTCAATACTTAATTAAGACATTGATCGTGTTAAAACATGGTGGTGTTCTAGTTAAGTATTGGAGTATTTGGTTGTATTAAGATTTAAAACATAACTAAAATAGATAAAAATATACTAATAAAATGCAAACAAGATTGGATCAAGACTAAAAGAACTGTTGTCGAAGTTCCGAACCAAGTGGAATCACCTGTAGACGACGAAGTCAAGCAGAGAAAACCACTTTTAAAAAGTTGGCATCTCCGCCGGGACTCTCCAGACAACAGATACGAAGACGCTGATACGAAGACGCTGAAAAATGTTCAAGCGAATGTTCTCTAAGAAAAGGGAACCAGTGAGTCGCGATGAGGTGAAATTGAGGAAAAGAGTGGAACATTTAAAACTCGTAAGTCAACAACACCAAGACGCGACGAAAAGTGAAGCGAAGTTAAAGAACAAAATGGCGACGCAAACCAAGTTAATAAAAGAATTGCATACGGAAGCTAAACAACTCCAATCAGAACTACCCAAGCTAAAGAAAGAATTAAAAGAAGCCGAAACCGACGTCGAACGAACTCAGAAGGGGGTAGCCATCCTGACAAAAGCAGCAAAACAGGCGGCGAAGAAAGTATCGATACAGGACGTTGAAGCATTGGTGTCAGAGAAATATGCGTTGGGAAAAGCTCACGGCGAAGCAATGAGGCCAAGGGAAGAGCCGACAGTCACGCCTACGCTGACCACCCCAGCCGTCCCGATGACTAATGGTTACCCGATACTAAAAAAAAAAGCGCGTCGAGAAAACGAAGCGGCCTCCTTTGGAATCCAGACAAGCGACGTGAATAGAGACGAGAAAAAAGCGAGCTTCAGAAAGGGATTAAATCACTCAAGGGAAAACAACAATAGACTATGCCAAGAAATAGAACAAACAACAAGGGAGTCCATAAGGAAAATAGAAGAAATGACGCGAAGAGTGCGGGGTGAAACACCTAACAAAAGGGCTGAGGAAGAGCCTCCCGAGTACCCAGGCAATGAACGACTCGACGTCCAACCAACGGCCCCGTTAGACTGTGCGGTCGCGCTAAAAACAGACATGATGGTGAGGCCAATCGAATACGAAAAGGTGAGAGAAAACCCAAATCTTCCTTCTGGTCCTATGATGCTAGTGGAACCAGGCATGGACCACCAAGTCGTGCGAATGGTGCGCCCAGAGCGATTGACATCAACGCCAAAGGGCCAAAAGATACCGACCGCGTGCTTCCCCACGGGAATACCAGGACGAGACGCGGTCACTGACGATAGGATAAAAAATGGAATGTTGACGGGATATTTCCCAGGAGTCCAACATGTGACGCCTTATCAAAAATCAACCTTAATCCCGCGTCCACTCATCTTGACCCCCCAGTCAAGACAACAGGAAGAATTGAATCAGACTAGAGCGCACGAAAACGAAAATTATACTCCGGGTCAAGGACGAAGGTTAAGGTCAATAGAAATTGATAATCCACAGATCATCGTCCCAAGACCAGATGAAGAGCTTGAGCCCGGGCAACCAGCAATGAAAATGTCTGAGATGTTACAATTAATGCCTCCTCCTGGAAACCAAAATTTACTGAGATGGATGACTAAAAACATGCAAAGAATTCCCCATGGGGAAGGAAATTTGGCAGCAGACATAATTCTGGCTAATGCACTGCAAACGAAATTAAAAGAGGCCAACCGAAACAAAGACGCAGAGCAAATCGCCTTGGCATTCTCCGACCCTGAACCTAATTGGGAAGATATTATTACATCGTTAGCGATAACGAATCCCCAGGGATTAGCCAACAATGATTTGGTAATCAATGAAGTAGGAAGAACCTATAATTGGGCAACCCAGAAACCGTGGACGATCATAACAAAGGCGCTGCAGGAAATCGACAGCCAAAACAGGAGATACCCTGTAAGGGATAACAGGGGGGTGCCCCCGCAAAGGCTTCAAGAAAGGGTGAATAACAGACCACCGCGGCCGGCAGAAGGGATAGAAAATGCTAGGCGACCAAGATCAACACCACGAGAAGTAGGCGCAGGACGAAGAAATATGACCCCTAGCCGCTCGCCTAGGACGGAGAGTCTGCCCCCGCGCCCCGTACCGCGGAATACGGAAGACGCACGAATAATCAGCCAACAAGAAGGTAAAAAATATGATTTGGGGGGAAACCCAAATATCTATGCACCTCTAGGCCTATACTTAACACCACAGACTGGCCAAGCTTTCACTGTATGCTTCACTTGCAAATCACCTGGGCACTTAAGTCGAGATTGCATAGCAGGGGCTATATTAAGAATGAACGAGCTGATAGTGCGAGACGGCATAATCATGCCGAGATTGAGAGAACAACCGGAGAGCGTTCTACGAGCTATTGGGGTTAAGTGGTCTTCATTCATGAATGGAAACAATGTACTGAGGCGCAAAATATCGACGACAGAAGAACTGGATGATTATTTTCGATCCCAGAATTCGCCGACGTTGCAAGAAAGAATCACCTTGTGTGATGAATACTATGGGAAAAGACCACAGCGAACCTCGGATCGCCCGAATTGGATGCCACCGATAGGAGAAAGAGGGGAACCGGATGAAAGGAGAAGATCGGCTACCTTTGCAGCTCCAGGATGGACAGAACATGACCTTGTGGCTGCTCTTTCCCTGGCGGGGGAAGAGTACGAGGGTTGAGTGACCCGACCATTCAACTCTCAAAAGAAATATTACCTTGTAAATATGTAAATAATATATCGGAATCATTTTTACCAGTTTTCACGGATCTCATAGAAGTCGGAAGTGAGACCTTGAAGTTAAAAAACGTATTCGGAGGAGAACTAATGTTTTTAATATATAGAAGAACCGGAGCCACCTTTTTAGCAGATACAGGGTCCATACCAAACCTAATGAAATTAGAAACAGCGCAAAGACACTATTCCGAGGAATGGAAAAATAGGAAACCATTGGAGGGATACTTGACCGGAGTCGGAGGGGAATCCAAAGTCGACTCGTTGGTAATAATAGAAAGAGAGGAGAAGAAAATTCCATTTGCAGTGGGAAAGAAAATACCGTTGAACATTATAGGGTTCCAATGGATAGGAAGGCTTCAACAAATGAACTCTATCGAAATCCGAATGGATGATCCAAATTCTTATTTGAGTAGTGCAGCATTGGCCATCGAACACGAAGGTGACGATCTTCAAGACGATGGGAAACAAAGACATCCGACGCCAGAGTCCCAGGCGGGTAAAATGAGACTGCCGAATTCCTGGGCTGACAATACAGAATCGCCGGAGTCTCAGGCGAACGTGGGACTGCCGTGGCTTTGGGCCGAGAATACAGAGTCAGAGTGGCCTTGGGCTCTTGACAACCAAAATGAGAGGATGTCCCGACAAATGGGAAGTCGATCAAAAACAGAAACGCCGATGTTTCGGGCGGAAACGAAACAGTTAAAGTCCCAGGGCAAAAGTACGGGACCAGAATCCTTACGATCGACGAACCCAAAAACAAAATCTCTAGGTAAAGTGGATGCATCACATTTATCTCCCAGTGCCGAACTGAATCAAAAGGAAAACGTGCCTGTGAAACCCAAGTGCTGGTACCTGTCACAACCGATAAAAGAATATGTATTGTCGGAAAAAACTCTAGAGTGGGTGAAGAAGGCATTACAGAAGCTTGAGGGAGAAGCTATTGCGTTGGCCAAAGAATAATATACGCCGACCGACTTAGGAACAAAAGAGAACGAGCTGATCCCTGAAGACGAATGGAAAAAGATTTACGAACCTAACGCAGGAGAACTGGAAAATCTCCAAAAACACTTGAATGAACCACAAGTAATGAAATATAAGTGTTCAATAGAATTGAAGGACCCAAACACCAAACCGTTCGTGTCAGGACCTTATAACCTCAAAGGAGGAAAGCAGCAAAAGGCGTTAGAAGACGGAATCCAACTCATGAAGAATCTGGGAGTTGTAGAGACGGGATTTGCGCAATGGAAACTGGCCATTTTCGTTGTACCGCAAAAGATGAACGAACGTCAGAAACAAGACCCGAACTGCGAACAAGCATGGCGTGTAGTACAGAACTTGCAACCCTTAAATGCTGCAATCAAGGGGATAGAAATAGCCCCTCCATTGATACCAGACGTGCTCACAATGGCGCAAGGACGGCCGGTCCTGAGTCTGTTGGATCTAAAGAAAGCTTACTACCATATTGAAGTGCCCGAGAAATCTAGAGAATTTCTGGGTATTGCAGTGAAGAATGAACTGCTTAGATTTCGAAAAATGCCGTTTGGAATAAAGACGAGACCGGCATTGTGGTCTGCAAACATGTTAGAATGCATAGAAAAGCCGGTGACGAAAGATTATAGAGACCGAATTCGAGAAATGGGAAGAACGGACGAAGAAAATGCTGAGCCAATCAAAGTGTATATAGATGACATGGTACTAGCGACCAAAACTATAGCAGATCACCTCGTCTTGTTGAAAGTATTGTTTGAACAAATGGTAAAATGCGATTAACAATAAGTATAAACAAGTGTTGGATTGGGAAAAAAACGGATTAACGTCCTTGGTGTAACCGTGACGGAACACGAAGTGTTAGTACAACCTGATAGAATACGAGCACTTCGAGAGATACCACCTCCGAAGAACATAAACGAACTGCGTGGATGGATTGGCGCGCTACGATACCTGGCCAAACACATCCCAAGATTAAGCCTGATATTGACACGGTTTGACGAAAGGACGGGAAATGTCCCCTCTACGAGAGGAAAAGTCACACCACTGGAATGGACGGAAGAGTTGTTGGACGACTTTAAAATCGCCCAACAGGCGGTCAGTAATCCAGAGAAATTGTATCATTTCAAACCCGAGTACAAAACGTATCTGGAAACGGATGCAAGTGAAAAGGGATTTGGCGCCATATTATTTCAAACCAAACCGGAAACAACGATTGATGAGATTGGACCTCACTCAAAAAACGTTTATCCTCTCGCCTATTACAGCCAGAAGTGGAAGACTCAATGCCAGAGAGCTTATGACCCTTGCAAAAAGGAGTTGAAGGCCCTGCGCGAATCAGTACGGAAATTTAAAGAGGTACTGATAGGGACTTCGTTTACGATATTGACAGATAATATGGGAGTCCTAGGACTATTAAGAAAGATGCAACAACCTAAGCAGCCCAGTCAAGACTATCTTGTACTGCGTTGGTTAAATGAGCCATATGTAGTGCACCTTTCCGATCTAGACTAGATCCTTTGTACCACAGGTGTCGAATTATTAAGCTTGGTCATATCCATGAATTTGAGATACTGAAACTCATGCACCAGTACTTCGATAACAAGCTTCCCATGGCATTCGCGGGAATTTTCAGAATGCAGAGTAATATCCATTCATACTCTACTAGATCAGCTTCGTCAAGTTCATATTATGTCCCAAGATATTCATCAAGCAGGACACAGAAATCCATAAAATACACGGGTGTGAAACTGTGGAATGCCTTACCAAGTACCATTAAATCTTTAGGCTATTACGGTTTCAAATTATATCTAAAAAGTAAATATATTAGTTATTATCTCTCTTCCATCAGCCATTGATTGGAGTATTCAGTATGATTCGCCATCTTCTGTCCATAGCTCAGCAGTCGCATTTGTAGACTGTCGCCATGGCTGCCCAAAAAGCCGGAGGAACTATAGGTGTAAGGAGTCTATTTCTAAAGTACCCGGTACTTTAACTTTACCAACCTTGGTGCAACCTCTACACTAAAATGCCAAAATTTGTTATATTTTAATTTATTGAGCAAGCATATGCCTACCATTCTTTCGTAAATTTTATGCCCACTTGCTGTGGAGCGTATTGTATATATATATATATATATATATATACATATCAACGTTTTATGATTTATTAGAGCTTACCAACTTCTATTCAATCAATCACTTACAATTTTGTCTTTGGTCTAACCATTTTCCCCTCGCTTGTCGTTTGTCTTTTATGTAACTTATATACATTTATTCAAATATGCCTTTTTTTATAAATTTATAGTTGAGTTGTTTTTCTTTTTCTTTTTTTTCTCTATTATATGATTTTAGTAAAGTTGCGTTTGCTGCGAATTTTTTCAATGATTCAAAATAGTTCATCATAACGACTATTGCATAGTCAATGTTTGTAGCAAATGTAGTTATTTTTTTACACTGAACCAGTAACAGCGCTTTAGGTGTCGCTGCTTGAAGACCTAATATGGTCCCTCGCGACTCCTGTCGCACAAATATCATTATTATTATATTTATTTATTGTACCAATTTTTTGTGCATTTGATGTTTTTGTGACGACGAATAAATGATTGATTGATTGATTGATTGAAATGAATTATCGGTATACCCAATCGAACAAGCGATACATAGGACTACTCACGAAGTATTCACGTCAGATGGACTGTCAAGATCGGGTTGGATGGAAATGGCCGTGGATGACGAAGACCCGGGAGTTTGGCCCGTGGCAGTAGAGACCCTACCAGGACAAAAACTAAAAGGGAATGATGAAATATCCCGTTTCATAGTCTATCATCTTCGACACAAGATTTGTGAACATGGTCAAAGAGGAATCCACCCGTGGACTGACATTCAATACATAGTGTGGAAACAGTTCGGAGAGTGGCTTCCCCAAAGGAAACTGCAAGAAATTCTTGAAAAAGGGGGGAGAGTAACAATGTCAGACGAAGGCGTAGGAGCTGTCTGTGGACACTCAAAAGGCGAAAACCCCGAGTATGAAAGGTACGAAGGAAACGAACCGTTATATCACATGACGCAAAAGAATAAAATAATGAGTATATTGACCAATGGACTGAAGAAAAAACAGAGAAGATTTATACACCTCACAAACGATCCGAAGAAAATTCGTGGAAAAAGGACGGAGCGGTTGAAGATATGGCCGACGGAAGATCTGGGGATCGTGAAAACACCGAATTCAAAGATATTCTTAGCCCCGGATACGATACCGGTGGACAGGATAAAACTGTTGACTCATAAGCACCCGATCGCATGCAATAAACAGTAAAGCAAGAAGTGGGCGGTTAGTTCACTAGACCCGGTATATCAGTATAGAATATAGATGATCGAACTTTGCTTGCAATCAAGTCTATCTGTCTATTCACACGAGTCTGGTCAAAGTCAAGATTTTGTAAAATCACACCGGTAGAATAGGATTTACCAACATATTTATTCCAGGGGAGAGGAAAGTCGACAAGATTGCTCAACCATACTGCCATATGGCGATCCACGGCCTCACGTTTGGTTACCATTCCATGCCGGGTATGGGATTAGTTAGTTGGGCTATTTGTTTTCGGAAGCATGGACTTGATGGTGGAGGAAGCCGTAGCCGAACAGCGGTTACGTGAACCACCCTGCGGCGGTGAGGAGTCCAGCAATCCTCTCGTACATAACCATCCCCGCACATGATTCGAACCTGCGAACCCACACAGAGTAATCAGAGGTGCGGTGATGAGCGTATTCCTAACGCTTAGCACGATGAGCTGCGCCGCGCGGTAGTTCACCAGTTGGGATTGTGAAATAGAAAATGTGAATCAAATCAATTGAGTAACATAGTAATCAGTACCCAAATAAGGGAGTAAAATAACAGCTTTTGCAATGATTGCATTGGTTTGCAAGATCACTCATGGTACCGTATACTCAAAAATTTGATTACATGCTTTCGAAAACAAATAACTAGCTAATCTAATACCGGTAACCAACATGGACTGGTAACGGGATGCAGGGATGAGAGGCCGTAACCTCTCATATGATTAAGCTTTGTAATCTGCTTTCCTCTACCCCGGGATAAATACCGGTACCGGTATGTACCGTAAATCTAACTCCTACCACAGTGCCAATATTATTAATGCAATTCGTTTTTTAACAAATTAGAGCTCTTTAGTATGGCAGAGTTCTCCGTTCCAGGGACGGCAGGCCTCACATTAATCATAATTGTATGCTTATTATTTTTTGGTGGCAGGCGCGTACTTTTATGTTTTTTAACTTTATTTTAAGTTATGCTCGCCTTCCAGGTACGGTACCGGTATCCCTGCATTTTGTTTGTTCGTCTACTTTTTGTGCCGTTTTGTTTTTATGTCAGAGTACCGAAATAAATGATTGATTGATATAACATCTTTAGACGATGCTGTCTCGCATACAGGCATAAAAACATTGCGTTGTGGTAATTTTGTATTTGTAAGTTTCATCCATAATAGCTATTGTGAGGTTGCGCTGACAAGTGGACCAAATGGTCATTTCGGCCAAAGGCATGACTGACTATGTACAAATCTGTAGCTTCGATTTATTGTGCTTTTCCTCAATGGATAATGAAAAAAAAAAAAGATTTGATTGATTTATAACAGTGAGTGCAAACCCCTCCTTTGAGAGACAGTCTGGGCCTCCATATAGGCAAATCGATGTTGCACAATAGACTAAACGGAAATGCAATTTAAAAACTTCATCATTGGATTCCTTGGAAATAATATTCCAATGTACAAGAAAAAAAAAATTACTGTAGTATTCGAGAGTTGCAATTAATTTAAATTACAGAGAAAAGCATGGCGCAATGTGACGCATCTGCCATCGTCCCAGACACCCTCTTTTTTATGGACAAATATAGTGTTTGTTCCATTGTCCCGTTCCCTACTGCACTTATGCTTCATCTTGAAGTTTAATTAAATACAACAACAGGCTTAGCTTATCCTTCATGTAAAACAGTGGTTCCCAACCTTTTTTGCCTCGCGACTCCCTTTGGATATTTTCCCCCTTCAAGATATATGCTGAATTTAAATTAGTAGGTCTTAAGGATATTAAGCTTAAACGTGTTTGCTTCTAAATAGTTATCTTGAATCAATTCAAATACTATCAATTATGTTATGATATCGTTATCCCTAAAATTAAATTTTCTATACAGTCATTGAATTATTGCATTATCACTACTATTTATTGAGTGCCATATTTCCGGCTATGAGGCCGCTTTTCAAGATCCAATTTTCAATCTGATTTACGAGGGTCGGATTATTTGGTTGGGTTCGCTTTCGACCAGAGAATACCTAAGTCAAAATCGGTCTGGGCAGTACCAGAAAATACGGCAATGGAAATGAATAGCTCGTGCTTTCATGTTAGTCATTTTAGAAGTTTGCCTTCTGTAGACGTTAGAAGTTTGCATTCTGCCCAAAGAATTTTGCCGTTTTAGGGGAGTAAGATTGCTTTTTTATATTGTAATTCGTAACACGCAAGTATTTCAAATTGAGCAAATATTGTCCAGCCCAAATATTGATTTCGTTTTTTATATCAAACTACAAAAACGGAAATGCGACTAGCGCATTCCAAGTGGTCCATTAAAAAATTGAATAAATAAAGAAGTTTTATTCATAGAGAGAGGAGGAGTTTAGAGGGAGAAATACAATAAAAAGAGGGGGAACCACAGACTCGCAGTGAAATTAAAATGCATGCTTTAAACAAGTGAGATGTAATGGTGGTAAGTTTGTTCTGAAGTGGGAGGGAGACCTTGGTTTGATTCTAGGATTTGTCTAGCATCAGGAACCCGAAGCCCTGAAATCGGTTTCAATTGTTTCTCGTTTTTAATTTTTCCGCTTATAAAAAAAATTAATTTTCCCACCACTGATTAGGATAGATTAGATAGCAAAAATTCGTACATAAAATTATTTTGTTCTGCGACTCCCTGAAAAGTGCTTCGCGACCCCCAGGTTTGGGAACCACTGAAGTAAAGTAAAGACTTGCCTCAAACTCCACCCACTCAATAAGAGTTCTATTTTAACTCATAAACACAGGTTGTAAATGTGATATACAGTCTGACAGTAGTAACAGTAATGTTGTATCTAATAATGTAATGACGTCTTTGGGTGCAGCCAAGAGAACTGGCGGCATTGTGGTTCATGTAACTCCACAGTATGGTTTCATTGAACTGACAAACAAAAGAATCCCGGTATCTAAAGTACACTTTGATCGCCTCTCTGTCCGTGGTCCAGTTAGTGATTTGGAAAAAGATTTTCCTAAAGGAACCCATGTAAACCTAACTTTCGTTTCTCAATCGGGCAATCATGAGACGAAATACCATGCGATTAATATGCAAAAAGATGAACGTGGAAAGAAAGATAATCAAGAAGAATTAAGAAATTCTTGGAAAGGTTTTCAGAAGTCTTCAGAGAAAACAGATACATCTGAGAACCAAAGTCACCATCGCCCTAGATCAAAACAAAGTTTCACACAAGGAGATAAATATCCTCCTAATAAATCAGTGCAAGAATTCAATTCCCAACAACATGGAAGAAATTATTTTGTAAATGTGCAAAATCACCATCCACCAAGATCAGATCAACATTTCAAACAAGGAGGTAAATACCCACATAATGAACAGAGACAAGAATTTAATAACCCTAACAGAGGCGGACAGACTCAACATCCAGGAGCTAAGGGACAGAAAAACCAATTTGGAAAACCCCAGTATAAGAACGATCATAACCCCCGCCGTGCCAAGGATAAAGTAGATGGACAAAAGTTTGACCCAAGCAATAGGAAACCATCGCAACAAAAACGGCACGCGAACAGACAACGCTCAAAGGAGGAGACTGTACCAGTGGGTTCTCACTATCCTGATAACGACACGCTAGAAGTTTGTGATAATAAATGTCAATCAAGTCAAATTACAGAGTTTAAAACAAATCAAGCATCTGGAGTTGGTCAGTTCTTTAGAGAAGCTATAGCAACTGGATTGTCAAGCTTGGCTCAAAAAATAGTCAGTGTTCCCCCAAATGAAGCAACATCACCGAACACAAATATAATGCAACAAAACACCTATTTCTCCAATACAGGTGGTACTTCAGACCCTGAAAAAGATATGCTGTTTTTCAAGAAATATGTATCAGAGAATGGTGCCATCATATTGGATGAATTGATTTTAAAAATCAAAAGTGAACAAAATTGTCCAGCTTCTCTGCTGAATTGTGATGTCACTGATGTGGTGAATATCGCAAGACAATTTCCTGATATTTTCACTTTTAAGAGTGGATTTTTCTGTTTTGTTAGTTTCGAGTCGATGATTTTCACGAAATTTTCAGAAATGCTCAATGATTTCAATCAAAGAATCTCTGTTGATGTTGTTAAACATCACATTACTCCAAACAGTGCAATGGGAGTTTACTTGTATGGTAAATTAGAGTGGATCATGGGTGTACAAGATTTTATCTCCCGTCATTCGGAGGATTTCGTATTTTGGAATTCCCACATTTGGAAACGAGCAAGTTTTTCTTCATTAGATGAGTTTCAATCTTTTGAGAGTGACTGTAAGGCTGTGAAATACTACTCAACGTTTGTTGCAAAGAAATCTGCTATTTCTCTTTCTTCTTTGAGTGGACATTTTGCTCAAGCTCCTGTCGATATCAAAAAAGCTGTGAAATCTGATCAGGTGAATTTTAAAAGCTTTTTGTTGAGAAATTCTTTCTTTTTCAACTTGACAGGTGACTGTGTTACCAATTGTGGGGATCATCATTTTTCTGTTTCGTGGATGAATCTGCCAAATGCTATTCCAGAAAAGAAAGATATCCGAAAAAAGAAAAAAACAAAAGCTCAGAAAGGAAAATCAGAAGAAAATGATCAGAATCAGAAGAAAGTAAATAATAATGTTGAAGAAGCAGACACAAGAGCATTTTGTGGTGGCAGTACTGAGTCTCCTATTAAAACTTCACAGCCTTGTACTGAAGATTCATCACAGTTTGAAGAGCAAGTTGTATCTGGCCAAAAAACAGAAAAAGAGGAGCAATCTGGTAAATGCTGCAATCTTTCATTCGAATTCTATGCTTTTTCATCTTGTCACTAACATAATTTGTTTCACCATGCTATAGTTCAGACATGGGCAAAGTACAACCCGGGGGCCAAACCCGGCTCGTTGGGTAATTCCATCTGGCCCGCCTTCTGCTGCCACAACCAAACTGAAATCAAATTTCGATGTTTTAGCTAAAAATAGCTCAAGGAATTTGTTGAGATTGCGGTTAATTTTAATTTCGGAGCGAGGCATATTGTTTTCCACCTTTGCTTTGTAACACTGTAAATATTGTTCATAAAATGTAACTTGTTACATCACAGATAAATGGCCTACCAGCCGCCACTCTAGGTGGCCCACCCCTGCTATAGATAGATTTCAACAGTAGTATTTGAATAGAAATTTCACTCTTATTGCAGATACTACAACTCTAAGAAAGTCTTCTTATAGCAGTGCAGGGGTTGATATATATGAACACACTGAAGGTAAAATATTTCAGAACATAATTGGAAAAGAATTGAGTCAATCAATCGAGTCTTTGCTTCAAACACAAAATGTGAAATCACTCAACAATTTGATTCTTGTACGTTTGAACATTGGTAGAAAACCATCAATAAGGTATGTATGTGGTACTTGATAACTTCTATTTCAAATCCGACTTTCTGAAATGGGTTTATCAAGTCTATATTTCATTGTTGAAACTGATTTAATTTGTAACTTGCAAGCAAGAGCTTTGTTCATTTGATTGTGTGACATCATGTAAAATAACTGGTAGACTTTTGATGACCATTTCTGCTCCTTCGCGACTTCCTGTCAATTGCAATGAATTCCGTTACTGTAGTCTGTAATGCATAAAAAAAAATTTTGTTTTAAAGTTGTGTTGTGATTTCTTGCACGACGAAATAAACGTATTGTCTTTAATTTGGATAATTTAATTTATTTTCATGTAATATTTATGGCATACAGTATCATAAATGAAGATGGGCAATTGTCACACTTCTAAAACATGAGATATGTGTAATTCTATTAATGTAAATTTTCACCACAGAAACATTTAAGGCACCTTATGTTTACTAATTACTGTGGACCCTTAGGGAGTTCAATTTTGCAAAAGCAACCTGATCTTGGACAGAAGGAGCAATAAGCGACGAATTATTGTCATATTTATGATATGATAGGGCTAGATAATAATACAGAATATTTATCATTTTTCTTTGTATTTAGGGTACATAATCATGATAGCGAAACATCTAACCATATGTTGTCAGAATTGAAAGAATCTCAGCTTGAGGATTTACAGAAAATTTTACGACACAAAGATCTTGTTAAATCTGCCACTCGTCTTCATTATGGAATCGAAGGAACTTTGCATTCTTTAAGGTTGGTGGAAATAAGCATCAGCGTTTAAAAGAAAATGCTCCCTAAATTCGTCTTCATGGCAAATCTCCTTTAAAATTTGGCAACTCTGGGTCTTAAATTTGTCTCCCGAATGACCACAAACAGGCAGACAGGCCTTGCCATCTGAACTGCAGGTGGGCCTCGTGCCAGATTGGAAAGCATCTAGTTTTGTTAACCGTTCAATACCGTTAACCGTCGGACTAATTTTTTAAATATCAAGTTAACAGCAAACTTTTTATCATAAGCTTACCGTAATATCTTGGAACCCACCCAACAATTTAACATTATAATTTGGTGTTCTGCAAGACGAGATAAAAAGCGTAGGTGTTCCAGGGCAAAAAAGGTTTGAGAAACGCTGGTCTATGCTATTGTATCCCACAAAAGTTTTTCGCTTCCAGATAGAATTTGTGAAGAACTAAGATAGAATCTTTGGCTTGAAAGATAAGTAAGATAGTAATGGTAGTATAGCAATCTTCGTCTGTGTGTTTCTTTCCCTATTTGGAAGATCCTATTGCCTGTTATTAGTTAATAGAAAACAAGACCTTATTAATTTAGGCATAGATTGCCTGGAATTAATTCATTCAGCATGATTCCTCTGGAAACTTGCCCCCTCCTAATTTGAATGGTGAATCACACACACTTTATGATACAAACATTAATTCAGTACGAAAGTCCACATTGGGGTACTCCTGTGGTGTTAGTTAGGCTATAAATATTATATTAGGATTTTCCCTTTTTTAGTTTTATTACGAGTTCTTGGACTGTCTGTTTCAACCAAGTAAATATACCCCGTGCCCATAGGCTTCTGCCCCTTACATAACTTGATGTAAATTCGGCGAATAAAATTAGTCACCTCCATATTGGTACACACTTCTGGAGCGCCCACATTGGGGCTATGCAGAAATAAATTAGCGATGAGATGGCCCGCATAAAGTAACAGTACAAACGGTATTAAAACTTGAATAATTTACTGTCAAGATAAGTGAATTTGAAAGTTTTTGGGGAATTCTTACATTATGCTTAGTTGTTGTCGGCTCATAATAAAAATCAGAAAGCATAAGAATATAAAATCTTTTCTTGTGATTTTTTATCTAATATTATTCAGAACTATCGAGCAAAATGGGAAATTGACCGGCCTAACAATATTTTGTCAAATTCATGAAGAGAATGATGGACTTGGACTAGAAATAGTTGAACGAAAGTCTGTAACAGCAATTGTGAGCAATGTAAGCCGTTACCCACAAAAATACATATATAACTATTTGCGAAGCAAAGCGCATGAGATTTCTGGGAATAAAGACACGTTAATTCTGGATGTTGATGGTCAAGTGAGTGAAATTATATGGCATATTGAATAGTATGAGCAGCATATATAATATGTGAAGAATGAGAATGTATATGAATGTTATTGTTTGTGCATTCCTCTTGTTTCAGTATCACTCTGCTTAAAGATTGAATATAAATTTTCTTACGCTCAGCAAGCACTTTGCAGTTGCATGGTGAATCACATGTAATCTCCATTATGGATCTCCAAATAGCAGGAACGATTATCAAGCCAATCCCATACCTAACCTTAACTAGTTACTACGCTAAAGCCCTCAGTGTACCATGCAATTAAGCTGTGTTATGGGCTTTCCTCCATGATTTTGTATCTAACAGCCCAATGTTGCTTAGCTTACAGGGTGTGATGAACAACCACATTCATCTCTTGGGAATGTGACTCGCATATCTTGTGCATCTCCATCAGAATTAAGCGTTAGAATCACTGAAGCGATTGATCATTTGCATGAATGTGTTATTGTCATTTGTGCTGAATCAGTAGAAACTTTGCAATCTCTTCAGAAGATGTGCAGCAAAGGTAAGATTACACTTTGCATGACAACACGAGATGTGGCCCGGTTTCAAAACTTCAAAATTTTATTCACGAATTTCAAAAGATAGCATGTAGAAAGTTTCCTTATTTTTCAGGCGCTCAAGTGTTTGCTGAAATTTCACCAGATATGAAAGCTAATCTTGAAGATATGTTTGGAATGTAATTTCTGAATGCAGTTGTAGTTCTTAGCATTTGTAAAAAAAAAAATGCATATTTTAATTTTAATTGTTTTAATTACTGCTTGTTAGTTATTGTCACTAATTCTATGCCTCTATTCCTCACTGGTGACCTATTGATATTTCAATTTGTAATTTCTTAGTACATTAGATTTGTAGTACATTAGATTTTCTTAGGGTTACTGCAGCTGCAGCATGTTCATCCAATGGAATATTACCTGAAAGTTCAATTTGATTTAATGTAAATTGTAAGTTCTCTACTTAGCCCTTGTAAAAAAAGGCATAATTGTTGCTTTAGTTGTCACTGTAATTCTATGTCTCGTCACTCTCATGTATTCTATTCTTCACTTGTGACCTATTGATATTAGAATTTGTAATTTCTTCTGCACCCTCGAAGCTTGGGTAGTAAGTACATCAGATGTCCGTAGGGCTACTGACTGACGCATGTTCATCCAATGGAATGTTACCTGTAAGTTCAATGTAAATAATGATAATCAGTAAATAAAGATAATATGATTATACGAGTCTGATGATTATACAACGGAAGCGCGAGTTGCAGCATGGGCCTGCTTCCATACCAGCTGTTTTAGCATCATCTTTAGTGTCGACTTTAGATTAAGACTGTGAAATATTACTTGTGTTGAAATTCTGTGTCCTAGGTAAAGTGTACAGTTGATACATAAACTGCATTCGTGACTGTTTCTTCAGGTGTCTCCATGGCATCTAGTAGAATTGAAAACTATGAAAATGCGCAAATGCAGGCTCAGCAAGTAAAATCAGAACTTCTTTCCTGGTTTATCGGATTGTATAGATCTGACATCGGCAAAGGGCCGAATTCGGCCCACCGGGTAATTCAGTCTGGTCCACCTGATGCTGACGTAACCAAACTAAAATCAATTTACGCCACACCTACATGGCCCGCCATCCTAGGAAGGCAAAAGGTCCAAAAACCTTTCCCGACCCTGGTAGGTATAAACACCTGCTTGCCAATTGCTAGAAGCAGTTGGGGTGCCGGTATGCACCAGGCTGTTAAATTACCTAAAACAGGTGGAAAGACAATTAACTTTTGAAATATCGATAATCCGAATATAATAATTACCGTATATAGAAATATTTATATTAACTCTGATCATTCTAAGCAACAGTACGTACTGTGCAAAAATGAATAATAATGGATGTTCATAAGATGCTGGAGCACTTCAATAATGAGGACCTATTAATTGTTGTAATTCCAACTCCGGCACATGCTACAATGATTCGATTCAAGCGAAAGTCAAATATCAGATCCAAAAACCGTTAAATTCACCGTGAGTTACGCTTGAGATAGGTTATTTTTCCAAATGCAGCCCTCGCGATAAATCAACGAGATGTCAGCCAGTACTTTTGTGGCAATTATTCGTGTGTTCTCGAGCTGAACTTAAGAATTAGTTTACTTGTGTCAGATTAAGATTGGGTATTTCAATATACCGGTACCTGACTTCACATGTATCCTGTCCCTTTCGATTCAAACCACAGCAGGAAAAACAATACTTTCAGAACGCGAACCAGGGAATCTCTTGATAACCCTGGCAATCTTCAATTAATGATTCCATCTGAATAGCCTACAATATTTTAATGATTTGAAGCCATGAAATAAGTGGTAGTAAAACTTCTATAAAAAAATAGTCGCAAGATTTTGCTAATAGAAATGTGGAAGCCCTATTTCAAGATGCTAAAGATAAGGTCTCAGATCAGTCGCATGGAAGCCAAGGTAGGGCCAGTAGGGGCAAAAACGGAAGCGAACCAAGTTTTCACTATTGTGGATTTAACAAGTAACCACCTCTAAACAGACAAAGATTGTCAAGCATCGTCATATAACGAGCAACGAGCGCAGACTCGATTCAAATATTTTAAAAAGGAATCCCAGTTTTCAGCGATATAGTTCATAACTCAATAACTGGCTTGTGTTCAATTCACAACGGGACACTTCAATTAAGAAAACATCGGTTCTGCTCAGGCATATATTGTGCATCTCAAACAAAATGAAGTTCGGTTCACTGAAGCGGTCCATCATAATATGCATAAACGTAGAGCTTCACTTTACTTGCTTGACAATAGTAGTGGTTGTGCGGTAAAATTTTGAAACTTTAATTCGTTCATGACTTTCCGACGTGAGGGTATACCGGTAGTGACGCCAGGAAATATAGAAATAAATATAAATTATTTATGAAATCGGCAAAGACAAAACTTGAAAAGATATTGGAAGTTATGATTCATGAAATGGTGCATGCATCTGGTGTTTTATTGCATGAATGAGGAACCGATCACGGACCAAAATTTCGGAAAAAAGCACGCCGTATTGTAAAAATAGTCAACGCTCAAAGGAGCAATCTTCTCTCGGAACTTCGCGCCCTAGATGTAACATTCAATGAAATTCAAAAAGTAACAAACGGAGGCACAGTTCGGAGGCCAACGTTATGAAATACATCTGCATATTTATTATCTTGTGGTACAGCGTTTCCCAACCGTTTTTGGTCGCGGACTAATTTCTCACCGGCGAAACCCCTTGCGGACCTAAGGTACGTTTAATGCAACCGTACTCTGTGTGAAGAAGCAATAAAACCAAACACAACGGAATTTGAACAAATTCAGAAATCGGAAATTCGCCGAAATTACGCGTCCGGTAAAAAAGCCGATTTTTTTAGTGTATAATGGCCTTTTCTGTCGCACTATCTTCAATCCATGACAACGACGAGAATTTAAAATGTCTTTCTATTTTAATTGTGTTCGTGGTAACTCGCGGTTGCCTCGACTTACGACAAGATGATAGCATTACTTTTTTAAAATGTCACAGCAATCTGCTAACATATTGCCCGATTATATTTAGTTTTGAAACTTATTTTTATTTTTAGAGATCTTGCAAATTTGTTATCGTCGTTAGGAAAATTCTACTATCTGCTATAAATTTCTAGAAAGTACAACGTGATTTAGTACTTATTAAAAATATATTAAGAAATCAAAAATACATATTCACCGCCTTGCTTTATTATTAATTCAATGGTGATAATTTTAATCTGCGGTTGTGTTGACGAAATAAAAGTAATACTAATCAGAAAATATCATGACAATCCGTGGACACAAAAATGCGTGGTAGAGTGCACGATTATATTTTGCTTTGATTCGTATTTTTGTGAATTCAACAAATCTGAGCTGTTCGTACAACACTTACGGCGCTCCAGTACTGTACATAGCAATCTGGAAAATTAGGGAAATTTTGCAATGTCTAAAGAAGCGTTTTTAATCGGTGCGTACAATCATAAAACAAAAGTTATGGTGTTCTCCGTTTTAGTTATTAATTTTTGTTGCCGCCTCCAATCTAGACAATTTGGGTTGCCACCCTTGACACCTACTAGAAAAAATTTATTCCTCGTTGTTCGAACTCGCGAGAAACAACCCGCGTGTGCTCGTGTTTTCGTCGGAAATTCGCAAGTGAGTTGTGAAATCCAATCGTTTTGACCTGTCGCGTCACATGTTACCAAATTTTCGAATAGTAAATTGCTATTCCAATAGTTGAATATTCGAATATATGCCCAGCCCTATTCAGTAACTACTAACTAGTAATAATTGACTTGAGTAATGTTATGTGAATAAACTTGCTTTTTATGTTTTATTTGAATTTTAACGTAAATCCTAAGTTGGCTGATATTTAACTTTCGCAAAAACGTTTGCGGCAGTGAGTGAATGCGCAATGAATTTCTGGCTCGTTGCGGACTCATTCAAACGCTTCGCGGACTCATTTGAGACCGCGGACTCGGGTTGGGAAACACTGTAATGTAGTACAATGTTGACTGAAATACGTTTGTGTTCGTCGGGAGCTTTAAGGCGTTGCGACTGTCTTGGTACTTGCGTAACACTAAAATCTAGCGGCGACGAACGCATAAAGTGTGTATCTGCTATTCCTATATAAAAATTACACATTACAGTAAAATTACAATATATATATAATGTTAGTTTGAATCCTTTGTCCGTGAATACGTCTCGAGTGTAAATATGAAACGGTATTTACTTGGAAAGGCTGTTGTCTTCATTGTTGAATTCCTGAATTGCCATCATGAAGTTGATTTTCCAGTTGTTGAATTGAATTTCCGAGCGGTTGCGTGTCTTTACACTTTTACACACACACGGAGATCACCAAAATATATGGAGAAAGAGATGCACATTCGCTACAGTTTGATTATTCTGCACTGGTTTGATAACCTGTAATTTTATTTTATCTGTGGAGCCCGGGTAATATATCAGAACATGGTTATTGCAGCATGTTTGGCTATCGGAATGATACCTGCTGATTAGAGTCCAGCAATCCTCTCGCACATAACCATCCCCGCACGGGATTCGAACATGCGAACACACGCAGGGTAATCAGAGAAGCGGTGGCGGGCGTAACATAACTAAGCACGATGCGCCACACCAAATATAGATGATAATGGTCATATAAATCTGATTGTATTGCCGGTGCACAAGGCGCGCTTGCGCCTGCCGAGTTTTCCTACACGCGACTCTTTCGGCATCTCTGTACAGTGGTAAACAAATTGGAACATTGTCCGATTTCGAGAAGAAATATAGCAATGATGTTGGACTTCTGTGTCTCACTTTAACGATCACAAACTCATATGAAAATTCATTAGATAACAGCCTCAACAAACTGATCGGTAGATCAAATCTTCTTTTCTGGTTTAGTAATAATGCTTCAAACTAGAAAACCGAAGTAGATGGCATTTGTAACTATTCGATGGCATTTGATACAATCAACAACTCATATTAAAATTTAAGAGCTAACAGCCTTCACAAACCGGTAGGTAGATTAAAACTTCGTTATTAATTGTATAGCACTATCATCTGCACGCTGAATACTTAAAACAATTAGATTATGCACTAATCAGTAATTTATTTCTACCATACTAAAGTACACATTGTGAATAAACAAAGTAAGTCGCGGCGACCTGGATACGGTGCCCAAAAGACGCCCGATCCAAGCTATTATTTTTACTAAAACAAATTACAACGCATAAAACTTGATGATCGAAAGCCAAATACCACAAGAAATAACAATATTTTGAATATATGCTGCTATAGGATACAAAGAAATATGTAGAAATATTTACATGACCAGGAATTAACCAAAATGTGCTGAATGATACTTAACAATTTGAATATATACTCAGGTAAATATCGTTCAATCTCTTGAACACTTATAAATAAAAATGGCATTTGGAATGAAATTTGTTTGCGTGTACAGCGTTTTGCTAATGATCAAAAGAGTTTTTTACAGGCACGCTTATAAAATGTTTTGCCAAAAGTCTATGAGGAATTGGAGGACACTAGGCACACAGGACAAAAAACATTAAAAATGTATTGATAGAACAAATAAAAACTGATTTTGACCACAGCGGGCAGTTTAGTTAATAATACTGTACAAGGTGGAAGACGATATAGGAACAATTTCGGTTAATATACAGTTGAAATTCCTGCTTGACAAAATTTTTTTACAGAGCGTGTCACAAAAGGTAAAGAACGTTTACTTATTTAGTATTCAAAATTGCATCGGAAGGAAATAGAAATGTAAAAATCAATTAATCATCATTGATTCGTCAGCACAAAATAAACGTGGGTATCATAAGAAAAAAACATTGCAAACACAATAGGAATCTAACTTAAAGGTGGGTTATCACGCAAACATTTTTATGGAAAATTTGATTCTATTTCTTTTTTTAAGATTTTTAACGTTTACCGCTTGCATAAAGTGGACTTAGTTTTCTACTTATGAATTTTTAAAAACCGCTTCAACGAAAATCGACCCAGGTTCGGAAACGGCCTTTGATGACGTAGTAGTGAGAACTCATTCCAGAAATTAGCTCCCTCGCCATTGGCGAGTAAGGTGTTCAACCTCTGTTTTTGGCGTTTAAATCTAGTTTCTCGTCGCGTAGTTTCATAGAGATTGAAACTATAATGTATTGTTAAGCATAAATGCTGAGGCATAAGAAGTTCTGAATGTGAGGGATCAAGACACGGTGTTTTATGTAATGATCGTACCGGTACTGACCACCCGTCAGAAGGCTTTGAAGAACTGATCATAGAGTAAGTATTTACCACTTTATTTCGTTTATCGACTGTTTGATAAAATATTTAGTCAAAGCATGATGATACCCAGTCACACTTTTGTATGAACCAAATACCAATTTGTACATTTACCAAAAGTTGAAAAGAGTGATAGTCTATTACCGGTACCGTACCAGATAAACGTAGAATCCCAATAATGGTTCAGTTTTTTTTATATTCATTTCACATTATTATGCAACAAAACACTGTTGTACGTTGAACCTTTCTAAACTGTCTGGTGATATTATCCTGATCATTTTTTTATGTCAGTTCTATCAATTTACTTTGTATACTTCGTTTTCCAGTGCACACTGCTATTAACAACACAGTCCAGCTGTTATCGATCAACAACTAATGGAGATTCGTGACAACACATTTATTGGCATGAATGAATTACATATGATGAAAACTTGTAATAAAATTTCAAAAATAAATAAAAACAGATTTGAATAACTGCGTGAGGTCTTGTTGTTTCGGGCTGTGGGTAGTAGAAGTTTGCATGGATTCCAACATAATTTTAAGGCTGAAACGATCCTTCGACTTAGAGGTCTTATTTTAGTTCCATGGAAACACATCAAAAAAGGTAACTTGCGAAAATTATATCCATAGTTTTCTGCTTCAAGACAGATCCATCCCTGTGAAATCTGCTGTAACCACCAACTACACATTCCATTCGTTACGGTAGTGTATGCGCATATACCGGTATAATCAGATAGTTTATATATACCGAAAATATACTAAAAAGACTAGTTATAGGATCAGATAAGCAGAGTAAACACACATGAATTATAAAATCTGGATCATTTGAGAAAAAATGGCCTGGTATGCGCTTTTTCACTAGAAAATATATTACAGCAAAAGGGCCGGCACAGAACTTGAGTACGTCTTGACCTCGATTAGTTGAGTTTACTGCAATTTCTCATAATGCAATAAAATTAGTTAAAGATATTGGTATTGATTTAAATCACAAAAGCTTCCTTCAAATCCGCCGCCCAATAGAACTAGCACACGGTTCAAAATAAGTACACAGAATGCTGTAATTGCCTTTGACCTAATGCAAAGTTTCGCCGACGAGTTCTCACCACTACGTCATCAACGGGACATACTAATTTGCGTTCGATTTCGGCAGGGTCGACTTTTAAAAATTCGAGTCTCGCAAACGAAGTCCATTTTATGCAAACGGTAACCGCCAAAAATCTTAATAAATTATATAGAACCAAATTTGCTACAAAAATGTTTGCGTGATAACCCACCTTTAAGTTGTGTGACAGGACTCAGGAGTCATGAGGGACCTCATAAGGTTTTCAGGCAGCAACACCTAAAATGCTCGCTGATTCAGGTTAGTGAGCACAAAAGGTTAATAAAAACACCAAAACACTTCAAAAATATTTGAAGAAAAAAAGCAGCATCTTTGGAAAACAAAATATTACTAAATATGTTTTATGAGTGGTTTTAAAATTTATGAGTCACTGTAATAATGGAGACCTATGAATTGTTGTGGTTCCTCAAATAATTCAATTCTTACAAAAATCAAATGCTATGTATCAAAAAACATGGAGTCTGTTTATTTCAATAAAAGCTAGGTACACTTGAGTTGGGTCTTCTTCCAGGGTGAATGAAAGTGATGTTAGCCAGAAATTTTGGGACAATTATTCATTCAAATTTAAGGACTCAGATCTATCGCATAGAAACAGAATAAAAAAAAAATCACCATTGTGTTAAACACAAATAACTACCATAAAATATCAAAAGATAAAAAATGCATACTACTTCTAACTATTCAACAAAAATATTTTGAAGAATCAGGTAATATGGTCCATGACTGGCAATGCAATTAAGAAAACATCGAATTTACTTCCGATTTCAAGTCAGATGGCAGTTCAGCTAAGACTCTGGTATCTGGAAAATATAAGATTTTGATTGCAGTTAGCATGAATTTGTCTCATTTTGCCTATGTTTCAACCTTAATCTCATCTATATCAGGCCAATTTAAAGATGCAGGCAACTAAAAGCTGTGCAGGTATTTATTTAATGATGAACATAGTTGAGGTATGTAAATAAGTAACGATTGGCGTCTGACTTACATTACGAAGTGTCCAGCTATTACGTATTTTAGGTTGAATTCCTGATTGGTGGCCATTTTTTATTCAGTCACACTGAACATTGCTAACAGATAACATTGGATTTTTTCTTTTATAGACGGTCCTTACTAATTACACCGCAGCAACACTAAGTGAGCTTGATTTATCCACTGAGTCAGAAATAGAAGAGAATCAATTTGAATGTTCAATTCCAAGCCTAGCACTGGAGTATTGCCTGTCACTATCGAGTCTAACAATATCAAGCCTATTGTTTGAACAGTAAAACATGATCTTTACCACCCATGGATATGTTGCAATCCACCCTATGCCTAATAAAACTGTGTAAAAAGTAGATAATCACCTTTGCTGCGCATTCTTTGCAGAGCTCTTAATTGATCAACAGAATCTATGCCTGTTATAATAACATACTCATGCATATGCTGAACGGCTTCAGTTATTTTTTCAGTCAATTCTGGAGAAGACGAGCATATGATTCGAGATACATTACCCAGCGATGGATGTGTCTGATCATCATGTCCGGAGAGCTTAACATAGAGTGGAAGATTAGAATAAGGATTTTTTCAATTTTCTCAATAAGCATAATACTAAAAAAATTTAGCATTAGGAACAACATATTTTCGATCCAAACAGAAGTGATGTTGTTATGAAAATATCTTCAACTTTGCTAAGTCCTAATAGGAATGGATTAGAACTCATCCTTGAGATGGTACTCCCGTAGTGTGTGTATCAGGTTAGGATTAGGCTATCATTTTATTCCGATTCTCCCTTTTTTTTAGTCCTATTACGAGTTCGGGAACTGTCTGTGTTAGCCAAGTCAATAATACCCCCTACCAATAGGCTTCAGTCCTTTTACACAGCGTAGACGAACAAAATTAGTTACTTCCATATTGGTACACATACTTCTGGAGAGCCCTCGTGACAGGGTGTAATATCAGAAAAATTAATCAGAAATTAGGATAATCGGAATTTCACACAAACCTGTCCATCAAAATCAATCACTAGGACATCTTCACTTTTGGATAATTCGTTGCATTTACATCGAAGGTAATCATAAATATATTTCACTGGATAATTCCCAGTAAAAACTGCAGTAAAATTTTTTCTTTCCAAGATATTTAGTGCAAGGCCATCATTATCCTCATGTAGCTGACAGAAAAGCGTTAATCCTGTAACCTTCCCTCCTTGCTCGAGAGTTCTGTAGCAAAAGGGTGTTGGGAATTACTGAGAAGGGGAAAAAACGTAGCTGGAGATTAGAAAATGGTTGCTTTGATTACAGATGTTTACAAGATTACTGGATCCCAAACAAAATAGCAAAGGCATCATGATGAGATTTTTCTCCCATATTTGACTATTAAAACATCTGAATATTCAAAAAGACCGTATTGTTTGGTTTGCATGGTTACTTATTTACGCGTTACGCCCACCTACTCTGAATGATTTCATGTGGTCTTATTTTACTCTTTTAGAAAAGAAAAAAAGTAACAAGCAGACTAGATAGCGATCGGAGACCGCCGACATATCGATCTGGAGTTTCGATTCCTTCGCTCTGACTCAATAGCGACATCGCGTGTCCCATCCTTAATTAATTAAAAACTCGCTAATTATACGACATAATTCATCCAAAATCAATAGGCTTCTCGTCCGAGATATGATAAATGCACATGCAAAATTTGGCGCAAATTTAACCTCGCTTTCGTGAGCTATCACGTAACATACGAAAGTGTCTAACAGACAAACAGACAAATACCTATAAACATACTTACCGATCGAGATCGATAAGTAATAATAATATTCATCAATAAACTATTTCAACTCAGACAAACTTCTGTACAAAAAAATCATCACCCACTGGTGAAACAGAGATTGTTTATCTCTGACAAACCTGATAGAGTGAAGTGTTTCTTTTACTCCATAGTGACCTGAGGTACAAGACTTCATCACCTCTTTCTGTCTCAGTAATTTTTGCAAATCTTCACTTTTCACTGGATCAATTTTCAGAGAACAGTTGAGACTACCGTCTTTTCCTGGAACTCTGTTTAAAATAAATGAAAGGGAATCTAATGAATCCCAGGTCCATCATTTATATTTAATGAGTTCACAATGAATCGAAATTCAAGTCGAGAACAATGATTTTAAAACTTTAAAAGTAGCAATAATATTTTATGACTTTCATTTCACAACATGTAGACATAAATTTGAAAATGGTCTAAAATGAACAAAAATAGCTGAACAAAAATTCTTCTATTTCAAGTGTCACTACTATTCAAACTTGTAATTGCTGTATATCAGTCGCATCAGCAATTAACATCACACAAAGTTTCCCCCAATGTTGCTATGCATGGCCATATCCAGTCTTTGCGTGAAGAATCAGATTGAAAAATATGAGCAACAGCATAATATATCATTATGACGTAAAACTTACTTCCTTGTAGTATTCATAATCAAACTAATACGAATTCATAAATCTCATTGACCTGTTATTATGGACGCCCATCTACTTATGATTCAATATGATCAGTATTTTAGATAATCTATACAGACATGTATGACAACAAAACCATGATATAGGTAATTATGTGAACTAACATATGACAAGTTTGACAATTTAAAAAGATTTTAAATTTTTAAAAAACAATCGCCGATAACCGGTAATTCTTTCAAAAATCTTCTCATAACTTATATAAATTTAAATTGCATTTACAGTAATTTTTTTTAGATTAATCAATCATTGTTACTGTTTATCATAAAGATTTATCCAAATCTGTAGAGCCGGAGGATTGACATGTTTCATTTCATATTGGGATCAAAGAAGTATTTTTAAACTTGAGTCAAATGAATTCTCACGAGTAACACTTTAAGACTTTTAATAATGGTGATAATACCAAAAGTCAAAATCCAGACAAAAAGCACAAATTGATAAAGCATTGCCAACAAATAATTGTACCAGACTTTGCATAAACAACATTCTTGGTATCAAAATTCAAGCAATTTCAAACACAAACAACTTTAGTTTGACCTGGGTTTGCTTACTTTTCTGACCATTATTTAATATACCTATGCCATGCGATGCCACACAGATTCAGATGTGAATTTTCACCTATTCCAAAGTTCGGTTTCACTAATGAGCAGATATATTGGTCATATTTTACGCATTTACAGATTGCAATCTTCCATAACCTTAACCATCTCAATGACAAATATTAGAACAGATATTCATACTCATGAAAAACAAGGTTAAATTTTGTCATCACACACCTGAATTTTGCCATTGGTGGTTTCCCAATATTCATCCTCAATAGCAATAGATAGTTAAAGGCAAAACCTTGACCATGTTTACAAATTTCCTTTTCAAGATCATCACTGATTGTTTCTCCTACAAGCTGCTTGAAGATTTGTTCATCTTTGGAAGCAAATGTTTTACCTTTTTTATACCCTAAAAATAAACAATTGATGAAAATGTTTCCTAATAAACAATTTTACACAATACACAATAGGCACACACCTCGGTTCAGATAATGAGGAGCATAATTCAAATAACTTTGGTAGTTAGTTTTAGGACACAAACCTCTCCAATACAGTATACTTAGTTGTCTTGCGACCTGATAATAGCGCATCACAGGAAAGGACAAGAAATTACAATAGATGTATTTTCTAAGATTGTCAGGTAACCACAGAAAAAAATGAAACCACAATCTTCAAGGCAGTATAACATCAGTAATAAGTTGCTACTACAGAAAAGGTAACTGGCATCCAAATAAAGTTTTTGAGTCTGAATTATGGAGTATATTCAAAGTAGGACATTCATAAGTGGATTATCACTATTCCACATATCTGTACCGGTAGTCTGATTAAGTATATCAATAATTTTAAGCACGTTTTCACTGACAATTTAGAAAACTTACTTGTTCACACAGATAGCTAGACAAATCTGGGCATTGGACATACTGTAATGAATTCATTCACTAAATATTCCTCTGCCGTCAGCTACTAAAACTTATCTATTGATGAACTGCAATTGAATTCGACAATAGAGCAAAGTTTCTCCAATTGTTATCAATTTGCTTTTATGAATCTGTTAATCTATCCCAGGGTTGTGGAACAACGAACTAAAATAATTTTAAAATGCAAAATTTTATCTGTCAAACATTTATTGGGTCACTTAAAATTTCAAGTTCAAGTGAGCACCTTTTTGAACATAAACTGTCAGATTGGGATTACATGATTGATGAGGAAATATGAGTGTTGACAATGGCCACACTAAATGTTTTGGCGGGTCGATTTATGGCCTCCGAGCCATCTGTTGCACTACCCCTGATCGACACGAACATCCCAGAAATATATTAGATTTAAGTACTCAGCGGCAGTGATATCTTACCAGATGAGGTTTTATTCTGAAGCAGTGATGGTTGGGTAGGGACAGCAGTTTGAAATCCATATTGTGCTGCATAGGATGTACTAGGAAATTGTACTTCACTACTGCAAGGTACTGGATTCTTCATTAACGTCATAAAATCAAAGTCTGCAAAAGCCTTTGGTGGTGCTGTTATGAAATAAAATACTATTTTATTTTATTCTCATAAAGATAGAAACCAAAGGTGATATGATAGATTAATCAGCGCAGCTGATATTAATGGTTCACTGTTTTGTCATCCTAAATGCTTGAATGGAAAATGGTGGTATAACCAAATATTGAAGTATTCAACTCATATATATAATTGGGATACCTATATATCCTATGAGATTCGAACCCAAAAATCTATATATAAAAATCAAATTTTCAAACCAATTAGAGTAAAATTGAAGTAAAACTCAGTATTGTTATAATTCTTAAATTTCTGATTAAAGAATGAGCATATAATAATTTTTAATACAACAAATAGCATTTAGTCCAATTCATTGACTATGTTGAACACAAACATATCGTATTCTTGGACACAAACAAAGGCATTTACCAATCGAACAATAAAATATTGTATATAAATTTCTATCCCTAAACACTAGATTACACCAGACATATTTTGCATAGTGAGTTGACATGGAAAAAAAAAATTTACTCACCTTGTTCTGCTGTTCTTCTCGATCTTTCGTCAGTATTTTGCATTGTCGCTGAAGACTGAGAAGCCGCTGCAGACTCTGCTTGATTAGTCTTTTTTATATCTTTCCCACCCTTTCCTCTTGTTCTTCTTGGTCTGGTTCTTTTTGAACCCAACCAGTACATATCAATAACAGGAAGTCTGTGTTCCACGCATTCCTTCACATTGTTTCCCCGAAGAATGAAGAAAAATGAATTATTCTCAAGAAACTCCGTGAAATCTTGTTCCTTACTAGGTGAAACTTGTTTAACTTCATCATCAGCCTGACCCCTGTGACCCAGAAGTGACTTAACAGAGATAGGTGATTTTTTTATGACAAATACAGAATAATACTTCACTGCTGCCATCTCTTTTTTGAATGTTTCATTTAGTTCCTCATTTTCTCTGATGTATTTTTTCTTCCATATTGCATTTTTCCAGAATACAAACTCATTAGCATTTCTCGCAACGAAATTTTTTACACCAATGTTCCACTGCTCTACAGTATGCAGATATCTTCTGTGTTCGTGATCTGGTCGAATTATACTGTTTACCATATCCATTGAAATTTTGTTTTCATGAGCATCCATGTTTTCCAGAAATTCATCAGCGATTTCTTTTTCTATTTCAGAGAGACAAAGAACATCATTTTTTATTTCAAAAATTTCTGGATTGCAGTTTGACACTTTTCTGATATCTTCTACGCCGCCGTTTTTCAGGAATCGTGGGCAGTTATCAGTAGCGCTTCTTAATCGTTCAGCGAGTTCTTCAAGATTGAATGGACCATTGTCCTTGAGATATTTTCGTAAATAATGATCACCACCTCTAATACTAGGGTCATCTTTTTGTATTTTTGGCTCGTGCAATGAAACATTAATGGCCTTGTATTTAACTTTGTGTTCTCCATCAGTTGGTATAATATTAACGTATACTCTGCTGTCTCTAGAAAAGGTGTCAGTGAGATCACATCCATGCATATTTGCCGATGATTGATCAAAATACGCTCTTGATACTGGCTGGTCATCAATGAGGCGAATGAAACCAAATGTTTTTCCAACATACTCAACTTTTCCAGAATATTTATTTGGTCCACCAATGAAGTTTGAAGAAGCCATGACTTATGAGTGTGCTGTAAAATTACAAATAAGCAGTGGCTAACAATACATGGATTGTAATATGAGACCTGAATACACCTAATGTATATTTATTATTGGTTCTCAATCTGTAAAACATAAAAATAATATGTTAGTATTAAGGAAGATGTCAGTTGAATTACGCTATACACAGGCTCTTAGAAATATTACTCGTCATTGCGCCTTTTTTTGTCATTTATATCCAAAAAACAATAGTCGTAATTTCAGCAGGCACAAGTGGGCCGGATTCGGCCCGCGGGCATTAATTTGCCCTCCCTGCCACCCTTGGTCTAGAGTCTAGACTAGATTGATAACTCCATTCTTTACAAATACAATAAAGCACACGTTGTTCTATTCACTATCTACTGATCTATGCATGAAAATTTAATCCAAATTATGCATAAATTTTCGACATTTAAATATTTTCATATAATATTCATCAAAGCTGGTATTCATAGAGAATGTCACATCATGATTGAAATATGTATGAGATCGTTAATGTGTTCATACAATAATAAATCATTCTTTCACTTGATTTTGATAAATTTAACGCATATTACTTTTATTTATTTCATCATATTTTACTGAATTTTGATATTCCCGAATGTTTTGATTTCTTGCATATTACTGTGATTCATTTAGATTTGCATTCCGAAATATTGGCTAAACTGATATATATTTTTTTCAATAATATAAATTTGAAACATAATTTATTCACTAATTCCATGGAAGATTCAATCCATAAGTTGCCATTTTCCAACATATAACGTTATATCACATATTCATAATTAATTTAGGCTGTAATATTACAGTTATTGATATAAAATAAGGTATGTAAAAAAACAAGTAATAATTAGATCTGCATGTTGTATAATACAATAGTACATTTAGTTATGTGGCCAGTACACAGTAAAGACTATCTTATTAATATACATATACAATGGTTTAACTAAAAATGTTATACAGTTTTTGCATAACAGCATAACTTAACATTTTTTCATTGACTTGATTCCAGGATTCTCTATATTTTTACGATCAACAATCGATATTTTCACTTTTTGGACGACTCTGTACACATTTGGCATAACATTTTAAAATATAGCTTCATTTCTTTCAAGCCATATTTCATGTCTAGCGATGGAGATTATAAGGGTTATACACTCTAACTTTTCAGCAGTATGAGAAAATTCATAATCACTGAAGTCAAGCATTAAACAAGTTCTGAAATCTTTCTTTAGTTTGCAATTTTGTGATATTTTGATTATTTTCTATGCAAAGCCATCGCCATAAATCTTTAAATAAATTCCAATGCCAATCGGAAGACTGTATTGAGATTTTGGGTCTAGTATAGTTTAGTACCACAAGTACATTCGGTGGGCGTAGCATAACGAATTTTGCATATGCTATTCCTAACCCCCACCTGACTATGCCATCCAAAAATTACGTCACTACGACGTCACCATCACGTCATAGGGATTGCCAAAGTATAATTACGATCGCCCGAAATGACATCTGCTCGCCGATAACAAACTTGCTAAAGCCGGCGATCTCTCTCCTATAGTGATCGTTGTGACGAGAAAACGAGAGAAATTGCTTGCTCGATTTCGGGTGGTCGTCTGCGCGTTTTGGACGACCATCCGCATACTTCGGTGGGCCTTATTACGCCACTGTGACGGCGAAATGACGTCATTTTTCGGTGACGTAGTCAGGTGGGGGTTAGGATTGACATATGCAAAAATTGTTGAGCCAGGTCAACTAGAAGTACATGTGGTACTAAATATACCAGACCCGAGATTTTAGGATTGAATTATTATATTTTGAATACAAAATTTCCATGTTTCGGTTTTTCAATTTAAATCTTATTCCCCCCAATATATATGAATAATATAGTATAAATTCATACCATAACCATGATGTCATTAATTTAATATATTCCAATATTCCGTCGCCAGAAATCAACAGCCCATCAACATTCCAAAACAAATGCTACTCTAGTTCCAATATAGGGGAATCCCCTAAACGAGATGCAGAAGTGTTTGGGCCAAATAGCAAACTGTCATCTCGCCAGCAAAAATACAGCAAAAAATGTTAATACGAATACACTTTTTGTCTTTTATCATCTCCCAATGTCTGTGTATTTTCTATAGAATCTGAATCACGATTTATAATGAGTTACCCACGCTTGAAAACATCTTTGTTTGTTTACTATGCGAAAGCCAATCAGCATCAAGTATGAATATGACGTTCCCAATGGACGTTTCCCCCACCCTTGACCCATGAAATATTCTCCCCATACTTTATCATGGCAAAATTTTTAACGCTGATTTTGAGAGTGTTTTGGGGAGTAGGCGCTTACAAACTGGCTCACATGTTCAAAACTATCATTTTTTTTTATCAAAACAATAAACCGCGTGTCGCTTATAGCTACTGATAGTGAATTTCAGGCTAGTCTGTCGCAGAGTTTGTGGTATAAATTTTTGATTATTGAAACTTAACTAAAAGTACCTGGAGGACATAATGACAATTAAACTATTAGATTTACAACTATTTTTTGGAAACATAACTAAAACTGACGAATAACACGAAAAACTAGGCAATGTTTACAACCGCGTTTGAGCTAGGGTTGCCAACCGTCCTTTATTTCAAAGGACAATCCTTTATTTAAGCTTTTTGTCCTTGTCCTTTTTAGCATTTGAAAAAGATGCTAATTGTCATTTATTCTTTTCAACGTCGTTTTTATCGTTATTAAATAATCACCTCCGTTTATGTATTTGCAAGCTTTTAACTATTCTTTTTAATTTTGCTTTGGTCCGGCTCAAATAGCCAAAGAAATAGGCTAACAATTTTATTAGGATTTCAAATATTTTACAATAATTTTCCGAAAATTCCAGTTCAATCACTGAAAATTCTACGTATAACTAATTGGTCTCTATGACGTCCACAATCCAACAATTCTGTTTTTGTAGATGCCTGTGTAATCATAGTATGTTATCATAACTTTAAGAAGAATTATAAACTTGTGCAACTGCAGAATTACAGCTTGTTCGGGTCAATGTTAAATAAACCTTTAAAAACACATGAAGATTTTTTTAATATGTCTTTTTAGCTTCTGTATAATTTTTATTTCTATATTGTTCTCTCCTGCAAGTTACAAAATAAATGATGGCTGTAATCTATGTCCTTTGTTGAAACTTTTCGTAGTTGGCAACCCTAGTCTGAGCGCAAGTGTCTGAGAAGCATCATAAATTCCAATTGTTACGTCATTGTTAACTTATTGCTTATTTGTAATTGTTCCGGAAATAAATAAGGAAATCGATGCTCGGGGAAACATCCATATAGAAAATTTCCATTCTGACAACGCAAATAAAGTGAGGGACATGATTTATATATTTATCAGGGCTAGAGAATAGTTGATAAGACGAAAATCATCCTATTCTGTATCTATATTTATCAAGATCATGCATGAGTTAAATACATAATTATCAACGAATATAAATTTGGATTAGTCGGAATTCTGGAATGAGTAACTGGCGTCTTTCAGAACTGGGCGCATTGTGCTAAGCGTTATTAACACGCTTCCTTGCTAGGCCACAGATGGAAAAACCACTAGATTAATTTTTATACAAGAAACAATGCCAAGAGCGAGAGCAAAAGAGACAGTTATGCACATTACACTGGGTATACAATAAATCCGCACATCCACGCAATCCCGCACAACCCCCGAAAAAGACGGAATAGAAGAGAACATATTTGATTAATACCTTAACACGTTTTTTTTTAATAATTTTCCCTTCCATATCCACGCGGTCTGTTTGAATTGGTCAGCTTTCTTTTTAAACTCATGTTCATAAAATAACACACAAATAACTGCATGAGGGTAATTACTGAATTTTCTGACATACAGGCAGCCTTTTTTGTAATACTGTTTAGGCTGGTCGCAACACCCGACAGGAATTATACTGTTCGGCTATAACATTAATATTTAGTTATCAGTCATAGCCAATCTAGGCTAATACATTCCTCATTCGCTTTTTGGTTTTCTATGTAGCCTATTTTGTTAGAATATATTCCCGACCATAAAGATAGAAAGTCAGGTAACAATTTAGACTAGCCAAGCACATTATTCAACTTCGCTAGTTGCCTCAGCTAGACGTAACACTAGTCAATTTAGTGACATTAGTAATATGTCAAAAGACTTTATTTGTTAATTTTATGACGAAACAACACCAAATGCGATTTTGTGTTTACCCTCCCGCAGATGCGACGCGGACGACAGATGCCCGCGGGTCTGGGTTTGGACCAACCTGAGTAGTGAATTCATCGCTAAGGTTTTTGGGGAAAACTTCTTGCATTGAAAATTCTCGGCCTAGGGCAGGGATGGCAAACCACTACCACGCGGGTCACAAAGTGACCCACCGCGTTTTTTGGATGACTCGCCAAGGCACGAAAGAAATAAAACATGCTACATATAGGTTATGGTATCAAGCAGGTTGTGGTCTCAGGTAGCCTATTATTACCAGTCAAATTTTTTAAAAAGGGGACAGCACATTTGAACCCACGTACATTTAAACCCATACATTTGCACCCGTATATCCGCGGGTTCAATCTATATGTGGGTGCTAAAACCCATGGGTTAGTATGGGTTCAAATATCCGTAGGTGCAAATTTTCATAGGTGCAATAGTATGCAGGTGCAATTGTCGCGGTTTCAAATTACGGGTTCAAATGTACGTGGGTTCAAATGTAATAGAACCTTTAAAAACATTCGAAGTAAGTCGATAAGATTTTTTTTTATATTTGATGTGGAAAGTTGATAGGGCATGTTTTGTATTATAGTTACAACATTAACAACATGGAGAGCATTCCACAGAACACCTTCGTACTTGAAGGAAGTTTGTATCTTGGAAGTACATAATATGGTGATTTTGTCGCGGATGTGTCTTTGATTTTAAATGATGTTTAGCCGTCAAGCCGAATGTGAACTACTTTGGATTTTTCTATATTGTTGACGAGCTTACATATAGCGTCCAGCGGTATGTTAGTCGTTGGCGTCCAGTTATCATTTCCGCCAATTTATGGATTAACATGCTTTTGTGGATCAAACGAAGATTTGTAACTGATGTAGGCTATATGATTTGTATATAAGATGTTGTTTAGGAAAAGGATGAATAATAAAAGAACCAAACGGGAGCCCTGAATTACTCCGTTCGACGACGACAAATTTAGATCGACAAGCGTCAACATTAACATATTGAAAACACTACGTAACAGAAAGTAAACGACATGGAATGGTAAAATGAATTTGGTGATGCATATACACAGCATTTAAAATAAGGAACAATAGAACATTTATGATGAATACGATATTTAAAATATCTAATAATATTTTAGTTATGTTCAACATAATCCTGTTAATTTTCGCGGCGCACCCTTCTGGAACCTCTTCCATAGCGACTAAGTTCGCGCAGGAGTATGCTGTGACTAACAGTATCAAAAATCTTTTTCAGGTCTGAGATAGCATAACAAACATGATCTCGCTTCTCGAATTTATCACAAATATATTCAGTGGGGCCATCGATAACATGCATGGCTTGTTGAGTGATTTATCTGGAAACCAAACTGGGATTTATTTATTATTGTAATTAATTTAATTAACTTCTTCTTCAATACAATAGTTTCTAAAAAAACAATTGCCAGACATGATAGAATAGAAATGGGTGGATAATTTAATATTTGCTTTTGTTTTATCACTCGATTTGCATGATGGAATGACTCTGATTCAGGGGCGTAGCCAGAAATTTTCTATTTGCCAATTTATATCGAAACAGCTAGCGGGTCCGGTCGAACGCCGGAAAAAGTGTGTTCTTATGGCCTAAAAGCGTTTCAAGCTCCGAAAAATTGCTATGTATGATACAGAAATATGCTTTTATTCTTTTTGCATTTCAAAATAGAGGGTTCCGACCCCCAAAACCACCCCTGGCTAGGCCCCTGCTCTGGATACAGTTTCAGTGTAAATGGAAATATGCCTATTGTTATAGACGCGTTAAAGAAATGGACAATGACAATGATAGACGAAATTGTGTCAATCATTCACTACTTTCTGCGCACTTTCTGCTGTCAGGACATGTTAATAACAAACATAATGTTTATTGCGACACAGCGCCTTCAAAGGGAGTCTTAGGGAGAGAAGGAACTCAGAAAAGTACACGGCAATGGTAGCCTTTTCCAAACATGGCATAATATGCCCGTATTGGTTTGAAGACGAGAATGAAAAAGCTCAACGGTGAATAAGGAAAAATTACGTGGTGGTGCAAGACGAGGCGACCCCTACACGTTTAAATGTACCATTGACTGGCTGAGAGAGCAATTTTAGGAAAGTGTGATCAGACAATTTTGGGCACGGATCCAACTCTGTCTTTAATGCCGAGGAGGTGATTTGAAACATAGGCCTACTCCAAAGAGAACATAACTATTGTGCAAAACGTCCTAGAATCTTGAAATATTTGGGTACAATAATACACAAGCAGAAGTTCAAGCGTGAAAAAAATTTAATAATTTACTCCATTTTCGTAAAAATAGTTAACATTTTTTGCTATCGTTTCACAAATTATTCTATGTCCCTTAGGTGTTCTTGGGACATGTGTTCACGTCGATAACACTGAAACGTATATTTTCGTTCCACATCATTACCGTCGCATCTAATTACGAAAAATGGTTCACGGTGCAGATTATGGTTATGACTTTTACTGTCGACGAGTAAAGAACTCGTCCATGCCATGCCGAGAAATGTGACATTCTACAATTTTAGAGTGGGGCTAAGAGACAAAAAAATTGTGTGTATTGGGTTTCATAAGGTCCGTTACTAAATATAAAAAGAAAACTATGGAACAAAAAATAACTATGCATATGCTTGGGTGAATCTTTTTGAACTGAGGCCACATATAAATGGTCTGCAAAAGAGTATGTCGATATAGTGTATGGTCAATACGTGTCTAACAACAAGCAACAACATCAGACCGTTCATCGTTTAAAAGAAACGCTTGACAAAATCAAAATTCTTCTACGGACATTTGCAAATACAGGTGTTTAAATTAAGATAAATTATATTTAGCATCGTGTAATTCTTAGAAATGTGGGCGTTAATCATTGCTAAAACTGCAAAAATACGTGAATAGAAACTTCACTTCCAGGATCACCACTACCCAGCCTGCAGGCCCATCTGTCAAACTCGCTGTCATTGCAAACTACAAAGTTCGGTATCCGCCGCTCTGAGCCAGTACCAGGGTAAAGCTAACTCAGTGAGAGAGAAACAGGCAACTGCTAACGATTTGTGGCTCTTACTTTAAGATAAGGTTTGAATATATATTATAAATCATAAAAGATTTATATTTTGGATAAATAATACAGAAATAGATTTTCAAGTCTCTCTGCTATTTTGTTGAACCGGAGCTCGAGCGAATTCATTACACAAAGATGATCCGAGGCCGGGGGAGTCGAGCCAGGCCCACCGCATTATGTCTCTCGCGACGTGGATTCTACCAGGATATAAACCAAAAGAAAATTAATTTTATAGATTGTTTTGGTATATCAATCACAAAATGAATAATCTGTATTGTGCCCCACTGATGATGAATAGCGCGAAGACAGAAAACACGGAGGATTCGACGTTTGTGGGCAAATTTTCCGTCACTGTTCTTACCCACCTATTGTACGACTTAATTTAGCTCTCTGTGTTGAAAGTTGTGAAAATATTGAGCAAAAATCACTTTACGAGTGAAGCGAATTATTTTCATCTATTTTATAGTAAAACAAATAGATTCACTACTAAGCATTACATTTTTACGTCCCAATAGTTGGCTTGTGACTCAGTTGTAAGCCATATTAAATCAAAACAACACGGGTAACTAACGTAATAGTTTTCGAGGATGCAAAAATAAGTTATTAAAACTACTGATTTTATGGTTCAATCCACGCGATAACATATTTTTGTTGTTATCAAACTCAAATATCAAATGAATATTGTATAACAATACCGACCGAATTACCTACTTTCTAATTAGAGATAAATGAAGAATTTTACATATTTACGATTTAAATTTTATGTTGCATCCATTTACGCAATTAATTCATATAACAAATATATATAAATTATAATTCAGAACGTTTCTGGACTCGACAGGTACAAACATATCTGGGTTCACAGAATGATGAATTGCGTTCACCGAAAATGCGATGGGCGTTCTAAAATTTTCTAATAAGACATTCTCTCATATATAAGATTCGCGATTTATCTCGTATCAGATGTATCTCGTTATTTCCCGTTTGACCAACGCATCTTTGATAATGATGTCAGATGCGCGCTTAGTTTCAGAATGTCCGGTTAGAGTTTCTTTTAATTTAGTGAACAATAAAAGCGCTAATGAGGTCATAAAGGATTTTGAAAGCGTGCCGTTAGAAAGGACTTTCCAGAAAGCAGGCATAATTTGGCAAGAATAGAACACATCAAGAATCGATTCCTCGAGATAGTAAAAGTATTAAAACTAGAAAAAGACCTCTCAGCGTGCATTTGTATAGTTTTATTCTATAAGATACCACGAAAGCTTAATATAAATAGTAATTCTGGTAGTTTAAATTGTTTCCGCTAAATTTTATTAAGTGTAGGAATACACAAACATCAACACAGGGCAAGCGGATCAAGTGACATAGTAAGTTAAAGGCTATCCAATCGAAAAGAGTATCGGCTGCTTTTCTATGTCAGGTTTTTTATTACGAAGATAAGGTTTACAGTTGTATCTATATTAGCAAACGATTTTTACCATAATTTGACACATTTTTGATGATTTGATAGCATAGTTCTTGAAACATAGATTATGATATTTTAAAAACTAAGCAACGCACGCTTGACATTGGAATACATTTCTCCTATTTCTATACAACAAAATGGAAACGTGGAAAACAGTTTATGGTAAGCTTCTTTGTTTGTATATAATAACATTTTGTTGTTTTGCGTGATTGGTTTGGTTCGATGTGCTATGCTTAGTAAAAATAGTCATCAATTTAACCAAAATTCAAAAGTAATTGACCAAACCTGGAAAGTTGGTCGAATCGATTTATCTCATCATATATGCTAGTATATGTTCAAAGAATCTTAGAAGTTTCACCATCAAACAAATTATTTTCGACTAGTTCATTTTATTGGGATTCGGCCAATATAATTTTATTTTTTTGGCCGAAATTCAAAAATATTCATTATTTATATTATCATATTAATGATTGCCAACAACATCAAATTGTGTGGCTTTTAACGTCAGCAATTATGTCAATCCATGAAAATTTGGCAAGTTTCAGTCAGAATACGTGCTCCAATTTACTTTTTAAATTTCACAAACCCGCTCGGTTTCCAACAATCGCTTGCGCTTTCGTAATAAAAAATTGAAATATTTTCTAAGGCCTTGCGCAATCGAGTGCCCCCTGCCAGTAAAATATTTCAATAATCATATATCAACCGAAATTGATCTTGTTTTTATATAAAACTTGACACGAACAGTCTCTTAATTAAGTCGGTTTGCATGTTTAATATGTGTCAAAGTCGTTATCAATCAATGTTTCCTTCGAGCGTATTTTATTTATGAGAAATTATTATTTGCATAACGTTTTTTTGTAATATGTTTAGTAAGACTTGACAACCAATTCAACTATTCGAAATCCATTATACCCTTAGAAAAATATTTGTACTATGGGTATCTTTTTGGCCTTTCATACTCTATTGCCTTTCCCTTCGTAAAGAGCGGTAATTCGTGTTGTCTGCAAGCCGATATTCCCAATGACAACATTTTATTATCCGATTATTTTCACCTTTTAGTTGGTTAACGCCCTTGGGGTGCTTTGATCTTTCTTGGAGGGGGTCTGTAATAACTTCATATCGCCATTCAATTGTATAAATTAATTGAGGATATAGGCACGATTAGTCATTTTATGTCGAAATAGGGGCGTTGGCCTAACTCTTGATCGGAGAACTTCTTGATTTCAATGGACTTTTACTGAGAACTATTGATTCTTGGTTGTTCTGGATCCTAATTTAATATCTGATACTCAATGCACCCAAATAATATTTATGGCCTGTATTACTTAAAAGGAAACGGAAGTGCAAATGCGTTAGAAATGTTGCATGCGTATAATGTGTCGTATTTCGTTAACGCGTCGTAAATTACATTCCCTTTGGACAAACATTGTTCATGCCTGGGCCGTTAACATTTCTTGAAGTTTTGCATTAACGCGTATGTAGGTAAATGTATAATAGAACATTTGTTAATGTACAATGCTTAATTCCAATGTCACGGTCAATGTTTTAGAAAGTTTTGTAATTTGACATTGTAAACTATTTGATGTGCTCTTTAGAATGTACGTTTATCCGATGTAAGTAAACTCAGGTTATACAAACAGAATGTCGTTTCTTTTTCTGGGAATATTTTATTAGATAATTAATAACCATGATTAAACATATTTTGGTATTTTCGAAATAAAATCAGCTATTGTTTATAAATTTGAGTTTTGACTTGAAATTTGTAAACATTGTACTGATTACACTTTGAAAAATTAAATACCAGTTTGGATTTAGCTATGAACTATGGTTAGTTTCATGTACATAAGGAATATGTTTACTACCCTGCATATGCTTCATTCTTGTTATCTAAATATACTTAGATTTCCAAGTATTACTAACTGAATATATGTTGACAAAGTCTCAATAACTTTATTAAATTACCGAATTGAATGACCAGACGGTTGACCATTGATTGGTCGTGTAGGCTAAATAAAGGTCACGTCGGGACGATGACGTTTGAGCAATATCCTGTTATCACGAGATCTTCATGTTTTATTGCAAGTTCCTGTTTGTTTGTCCTTATTTTACTTATCGTAAAGAATTTTCCAAACTGTTGAAAAATATCCAGATGCGTCATTTTGTCTGACATTTTGATAGATGTCGAACTTCCCCTCAATTTTGCTAACACCGTTTGTTGTTTATGTTTGGTAATTGGATCATTAACATAACATACGTATACACTATACGCGATTACATATTTCTCTTTAAACGAAATAATAATTAAGCAGCGTTTATGCGAAGAAACTTCGGCATCTTCGGGATATGCTAAGGAATTCGGATTGGTTCGAATTAAGTGAGGTCTGGTGGCCGGTGTGTTAACCCTCCAACTGAACCTAAAAATTACCAATATACTTTTTTAATATTCTGCTAAGTTGTTTTAGTTTGAAAATAATCTGAATTGATCTATATGCGTCATATCCGATTAGATATTCATAACGAATCATTACTTAAATTTTAACAATTTCAATTTATTTTCTAAAAAATGAATAGAAAATTGCTGTTCCTACATTATGAGTTTTCAAACATTCTATCCAATTCTACATAATAACTCTTTTTGTTAACTATTTTAGGTTTTTAAATGGCCCATGCAGGACCAGAGCGTATTTTGTTAGCAAATTCAACAGTAAAAGTCGTTTCGTGACAAAGTTCTATTTTCGAAACGTGATACGTGCACAATTGAACATTCTATTTCACACAGAAATAAATGAACCTAATTAATTCAGTTTTTTATCTGTGAGACCTTTTGCATTTTCCCATGTCTTGTGTTGGTTGCAGTTGACTGAAATTTTTTTTAGGAATTACGAGACTTGTTAAATAAAACGAATCAATTTCAATCCCGATAATTCAAGTTACAAGGAAAACCTGAAACAATGAAACATAGATCATATATAGAATATTGTGTTCATAGATGAAATGTCATGTTACCCATGAAGAAAGACATGTGATAGTTAGTAGTAGTCATTTGTTTACTTTTTATGATATATCTATCTATGGTGTATCTAAGCTTCATACAAAATAATCCGTGAACGTTGGATCAAAATACCCAAAAATCGTTGGCAAGGGAAATTTTCTGAAACGTATCAAGGGTCAAAGTTCAACAACGGAAACTCGAGTCATGTCAAAACAATGAAATAAGATTTTCTTATCGTCATCTTACAAGTCTCAGAGATTATCCCAATTACAGCTGGCGTCGTCTTAGGTGGATTTCGCTTGTTGGGGTTGAAGTTGAATGAGGAAAACAGATACAATAACAGCTGGTTCCGTTTTAATTACCAGTAATTACCAGCGTTGATACTTTTACAACTCAAGGCCTTGTGTAAATCCTAATGTTTTATTTATCTTAATATGTCTGGATATTTGGGTAATATATCCGCCAGTTTTTGAAGTGCGCCGATATTCCCTGTAGTTGAGTATTAAATCACGTGATCTTGCGTGTGATCACCATTTCATGTCACCGGTTTCTGACATACAATTGGATACAAAACGTAAAAAACGCGTGAAGCGGTGTAGTAAATCTATCCAAACTTTAATAAACACCTTGTATAGTATATATATATTGCGAAGAGTCAATCATACTCTTTGGGGGATCGGAGATCGGACTTGCTTCGTGCGCGGAAAACTATTAAATTTTTTGAATTGTGCATGTTCAAGCAAAATATTCATTTTTTTTGCATAAGAAAATCTAATCTACAAAGAGTTTAGGTTTATTTGTATTCTTTTTTTTTATAGTTAGTTACGCCGCTTAGCAAAGTTGTTTTCCTTTCCTCGAAAACTTTATGCGGACGTTTTTTGCAAGAACGAACTTTATGCAAAAATATCTTCGCTCAAAAGTTCAGTCCCATAAATGTCCACTATCAAAAACCACATTCTTGCAAGAAAATTGCAAGATGTTAAAATTTCCAACGTTCAATAACGTTCAGGCGTATGTTCGTTTTCGCCAAACTACGTTCTTCTAAAAATTTGTTTTTTTTTCATTTGCTACTTTCGCAAAGCGTTTTGTCGCCATCCGAAGATGTCTGCTGTCATAAGATGCCTGCTGAACATTAAGCGTAACAAACTTGAAATTGTGAACAAATTTGAAAGTGAAGATATATGACAATCATAGTTTCTTTTCACTGCCATCTGCATCCAAACGTTACTTATTGAAACATGGCCAACGTTCGAGTTGAGTGTGATACAATGTGCGTAAGCACGCTAGAAAAAAAATCCTAGATCTTTATTCACCATTTCTACAGGCCTAGTTATAATCCATCCATACCAGCATTTAATAATTTTTGAAAGTTGGTTGTTTTTATTAGCTCAATATAAAATAAATTTGTAATTTATATCAAAGGAACAATCGATTTTATTTGGTATTAAAAAGTTTTGAGAGCAAATTCGACTCGATTTATAATTCCTCAAGTATTGCATACGGAATCAAAAATCTTCATTACTTTTTAACTTTTACAGGGGCCTCCATCTATTACGTCATCACGTTATTGTTCACTCTGACGATTGCTGATATCACTCAGGATACAAATCAAAAAGGAGTTGTAAATGTTGCTTCATCATATATGTTCAGGCCAAATTTAAGAACAGCCGAAGGTGTTAACCAATTGAGGACGCTTCGTGATTACCGCCGGACAATGCGAGCTAATCTGGAGAAATCCTTGATCGAGCAGATAACGTTTGACGAAAAAGGAGGTTAGTTTGCCTGGGTTACAATTCTGAATTAGCTGTTGCCTTCTTCAACGTCTTTGTAGTTGGAAACACTCAAGAATGTGAATGATATTGTGGATCATTTTTGCTCATGCACCCAATCATTTGCATTATTCACGATTACACAAAATTAAATGCAATCACTCCTAATAAACCGAATAAGCGATATCAAGTAATGCAATCAGCCTGCATTTTATGAACTTTTCATGAACTATATTCACCAAGGTTTTTTAATTAATATTTTATTAGCGACGTATTATACACTATGCAACGTCATTCAGTGCGGAATAGATGACAAAGCGAATTTTTCTCAGGTTTTTCCTATGCCATAAATCACAAAATAACAACACTGTGGTTTCACGGGTTTGTGTCTAAATTTTAAAATGTTTAAAAATCTAGCCGGTTTATGTGATTTTATTTTGTGAACTTTAGCATACTGTGTGATAAACGTTTCTGCAAATGGCAGAACTTTTGCGTTGATCAAATAGTAAGGATTGGTAGCCTGTGAAACCACTATAATACCAACCGTCTCCATCAATCATTTTGCATAATGGAGATTGATGATATGGTCATAAATTTGACCTGAAAACTGATTTTATGTGACACACACAATGACTCGGCGAAAGTCTGCAAAATGAAGAATTGTCACAATTCAAAATAAACCATTTAACATGCTGCTCGGATGATTTCCCGTTTAAACTGGTGTGCACCCTCCTAAATTTCTCGTACAACTGCACATGTCAAATATTCAAACATTTTACAATTTGCAACACTCACTTTATTATGCAATTCAAGCACGACTGTTCTTTTATTGTCATTGTTGTAAACTGCTTGTCTGAGGAAGTCTGATTTTGTTCAGACGAAACGTTACAGAAATACATTTGTGTTAGTGTGCAGCAGGACTCTTGAACTGCATAGTATGGTCTACTCACTGCTACAGCATCCTTGCATTGTACGCACACGAATCCACTAGCGCAAAAGCGTTGAGGAAGGATTGAGAGTTAGTCTCGCGTAATCTGTACTGATAGTTATAGGCTACTTACTGTATTTTTGGTATTTACCGACGTTATGTTAATTCAGACTTCATTTCTTCATTTATTAACCAACACAAAAAGGCTTTAGCGTTCAAACACATTTGATTTCCTGTTGGGCGAATCAGATTTACCGGTGTCATTGCTGCTATTATTCAGTTTCTTAATTTGTCATCACCTTAGTACAAGGACAAGGGAGATATCACTGTTCTAAATTATGGAGTTCTTTGAACATTTTAAAATGATATATGAAAGAAGGACAATCATTTGCTAGGAATGCTGAAGTTCTCAACGTTCCACCAAATACATATATATATCTGTAATGTTACATGGTAAACTGTTCTTATCATATTTGCTATCCTATGGGGGCGTTATGACCAATTTACATCGGCTACATGAATTTTAAATCGCCTCGAAATTTTCAGATATTCTGCCTGGACAGAAAATTTGTCTTCCGCTAATGAGTCAACGTTCAGTAGATGAAATTAAAATTGATGGATTACCACACGGTACAAAAACTCATCCGTCTCTCAATCCTAATTTATTTGTTGTACGAACTGTCAGAAATATAATAAAGGGTGATTTTGAAAAACAAGTGGGAAAGATGGTCAACGAGAAAACAACTGTTCCCCAACATTCAAGCCATTGGAGAGTCGACTACAGGTACGGTGGTGAATTTACTGATAAACCGTAGATATAATATACACAAAATTGCTCTCGAAATATTGGTAAAATGTAGAGGGCTAAACTACTTTAAAATAAATAGTATCGGATTCCCACGCAATTTCAAGCTATGATGTACATTGTACAGTATATTAATATTGTGGGCGCCCCAGAAGTATGTGTACCAATATGAAAGTAACTAAATTTGTTAGCCTACTTTACATCAAGTTGTGTAAAGGGACGGAAGCCTATGGTGAGGGGGTATATTCACTTGGCTAACACAAACAGTCCCCGAACTTGTAATAGGAACAAAATGAGGAAAATCGGAATAAAATTATGGCCTTACTCTAACCAGGTACACATACTACGGGGTAACATATTGTAAAACTTATGTTTCAGGTGTTTTTCAAATGTCCTGTGAATTGTCCCATTTAAATAAAACTGTCTTTGCTTTTTGATTTCTTATTTTCAAACTTCAAACTCAAGTTTGAAACCGTCCCGAAATCGTATCCCCTTGCTCCTGCGCATTATGCAGGATGCTGTCTTAACGCAGTTTTTGCCTTCAAAGACATGAAACGAACCAATCTGTAGATTTGGGATACGATTTCGATTTGAACGACGAAAGTTTTACAATCGTTGCACTCATTCGACTCCGACCGAAGTCAGGAGAACCAATTCGTGGAGCAAGAATCTTATCGAAAAGAAGCAGTGATAACAGAGGGTGGGAGTTCGTCGTACCAAGCTACTATGGACGTAAGTATAGGGAAATATATTCCAGAAGTTTGTGTTACTTATCTATCTAGCTTTGCTGACATTTAGTAATTTCATAACAAGAACACAAGTGTGGTTATGTTGCAATTGAATAAAATTGACTATTGTAGCGTATTTTGTATTTTAAGCATGTCTGTCTTAGTATGTCGGTGTCCTATTTTCCCCGGGTAAATAATAGTGGAGAAAATAGACAACCCAAGTAACTTTAATATACTTGCTTACTTGGTATGATATTTTTTGGAGATTATTGTCTTCTTCACAAGAAAGTTAAAGTACCTTCTAGAATAGATAAATAAGTAGCCATTTCAATTCGTATACCTGGGAATTGATTCTTTCAATTTACTTGTTAACGTGCGTTAGGCGAGATGTTTTTAAATATATATATCCTGACGAGTTATCAAAGAAAAGAGTGTGTGTAGTATATACTCGAATAATGTAGTATTTTCTAAAATCAGTGTGCTCCAAAAACGTCCATTGCTGTTGATAAATGAAAATTTATTAGTTACAGCCAGTGGTGGGATTCAGCTGGTTCGCACCGGTTCTATAGAACCGTCTCACGGAATTTTATGAGATCAGCGAACCTGTTAGCATTACTGGTTACTGTCAATGACTTTTTGTAACAGAACCGGGAGAAAAATATGACTTTTGTGATGGAACCGGCTGACAAAAAAATTGAATCCCACCACTGGTTACAGCAATCTAGTCAAGTTTATATTTTCCAGAGACTATATCTTTTTATGCCAACATTGTTCCGGGACATATTGACTATGGAAAATCATCACTACCTGAAAACACTTGGACAGCAGTGGGAATTATTTTCGATCGTCATACTTACGCTGACAACGTTGCTCTCATCACACCATTCATTGATGGATTCCCAGATGGCCAAGGAACTTATCTGGAAGTGTTGGGAAACTTGAGTAGTGTCGCTCCTCTTACTGTTGGACATTGGAAGGTGAGTACCATTGTGACACATTATCAGGGTGGTCAGGACGGAGGTTAATCAAAAATCGCATTTGGTGACAAAATCGCACGGCATTTCAGAATCTTGGAGCAATGAACATTTTCCAAAGTAGAGGGATTTTGCTCTAAGAATCTTATCGATGTTCGAATACACTTACATTTGCAGAAGCACTTTGCAGGAAGACTTTTTGCACGTTTTAGAGATTTTTTGGTGGTCTTTGCATGTTTTAGCTTTATAAATGACAAATAATGATCAATGTGTTTTCACAAAAGAAATGTTTGTTTTGTATTAAACTGTTTACCTATTCGTGGCGCTATTGTGGCCCGAAAACAATGCAAACATAATTTTGTGGCGCCCGAAGCCGGATAACCTTGGGCCACCCTGCCTTAGATATTGTCAATTATTCGCAAGGCAAATGTATTCACAGTTATTTACGGCATGGATATTATCTTTCCATAAAGGACGAAACGGGAGCATATAGTCGCGGAAGACGCGACTATAGATTGCCTGGATCCCCAAGATTTAATCCGCATTTTCAAGGAGACATCAGAGATATTTTTATATGGAAGAAAGCTCTCACAAAACAACAAATGAGAATAAAAGCAAGGCATTTGTTGAGAGAAATGGGTGAGAATATTTCGTCTGATACCTACAGTGCTTTACATTAGTTGTTTCAATTTCAAACCAAGTTGATTTATCGATGCACAGCTTCCAAGTCGAATTACAGTTCAATTTTTTGTATTCCCAATCTCACAGACTCGTTCTAAACTTTAAATTATTCATTTCCTTCATCGCGTAAAATTATTTTTACTTGATACTTCTTTACCTTTGTTAATGATTGCAAATTGGGTTTTTATTCCAGTGCGCCTGCAATCTGAATTGTAGATTATATATCGTCACGCTAATAACCGAATTGTGTAAGTCATTTTTAGCAGTTTTGAGAAAAACGTAAAAAACTCCTAATGATATTGCTATGCCATTGAGAGTCAATAATTTTCCATAGTTCAATTTTTTAATCGTAACCGGATTTAAGTTAATTTGTATGACGCAGTCATGTGACGTCATAATGGCGCACTGTGACTTACGCAGAAATGTGTCTATTACTAGGGGACATACGCAATTTTGCAACTTGACTATCCATGTACCAGTCCTGAAAACCAAACAATCCAAAAACAAATGTAATTCTTAGTATATACGATGTATAATCCCCAAAATAGCTAATCTGTTTCAATTACATTTTTTTTTATGTTTAAAAATATATATTTTTTTATCAATATAACACGCTCTGCACATCCAGCAAACTAAAACTGAAGTTAAATATAAAAAATAAAACAGCAATGTACCCATATATAAAAGCCAACCAAGGTGAATTGGACTCAGACAGTGAATATCACATGTGCACGCTTTCCTATATTGAAGTATAAATTGAAATTCATAAGCGCTAATGTAGAATCTGAGATGCAAAAACTCGAAATTCTACGCGAGGTTATTTTGCCTTTGTGACGTCACAATAGTCCTGCGTTAACAATGATAATTCATTATGACGAAACAATTGAACAAATTTGCATATCATACAAAATCTCTATTTTTATGGGTTTCGGAATTCTTAAAATGAAATTTGAGTTAACAGACAGGTGCGCAGCATTACATAAATACCTATTTTATGAAAAACTTAAAACCGTCAAAAATGACTTACGCAATTCGGTTATTAGCGTGACGATATATACTTACATTTATTTAACGAACAAAGTCTTCCATCAACTTCCAACAACATTTGTAGCCGTATATAACCAGAGAAAGATAATTATAAATTTCAAATTTTGTTGAAATCTCTTACTACACCAAGCTGTTTCCCTGGCAATGTTCATTTGGAATATTTTTCTAATTTGATGCCAAACACTATCAAATGATATTTCCGCCACATGGAGAAACTTAAATACAAACCTACTCTAGTCCGAGACGAGTTTTTAAACTTTTCCGAGCGGGTCGTAGGAATGGCATTTCCCGACTCCTAAAAGTGACGGGTTAAGTCAAAATTACACTCCAATAACGAGGCTGTTTGGATCCGACAGGCGTACTTATTCTGTGTACGATTATACTGGAATCGAGGAAATATTTTGATGTGCCTCGTATATATCTCATTGACAGCTATTTGACAACAATCTTCTGAGATTGATTCTTTATTTCATAAAGCTGCTGTCTTGTCGAATTACATCGCATGGTGCACATACCCAGTATAGTTCTTAGGCCGATAGGATATTATACCATGACAAACATTTGGTGACATTAATTTGAGAATCGACTCCACCATCCCTGATAAAATATTATGGCAACGGTCGTTAACAAAATTACAATCACTCGAAGTGTTTTAACTTTTACGTATTTTATTACTTTATATTTATTCTTTAGGACGGCGTCCATCTCCATGTCCGAATGGATATCAAGAATTAGATTGTATGTGTTACCAAGTTTACAATGAACTGAAAACCTTTTCTGCGGCCGAAGCAAGATGTACTCTAGGAGGTGGAACATTAGCAATGCCCAAAACTGGAAGAATTCAAGATTTTCTTGAAATTCTTATGCAGCAGTCTGAGAGAGTGTCTTTTTGGATTGGTAAATAAATTTTATACCGCAAACGGACAACATAAATAATTATGGGTACTTCCGAAGTATGTGAACCAAGATGGCGGACACCGGGTCGTAGTGTGTGTACCAGGTTAAGGTTAGGCCATCATTTCAGGTACAAATACTACGGGAGTCACTTGGCTAGTCCCCAAACTCGCAATAGAGTAAGGAAAAAGGGCTAAAATAAAGAAAATAGGAATAAAATTATGGCCTAACCTAACCTGGTACACAAACTACGTTCCGGTGTCCGCCATCTTGGTTCACGTACTTCGGAAGTACCTAATTATGATTATTCAAAAAATTATCAAAATTGTGGTTCATATTTCCATTTTGGGCAGTTATAGCCGAGACACTGAATAGTACCCAAACATTAACAAATTTGCTTTGCCTCGACCTAATTAAAAGTCTCATTTTAAATCGATTAACGATTATTTTGATTTTATATTCTAAGAATCCTACATATATAAGTTAAAATTTACTTTGTCGTTCAGGTCTTGACGACAGAGGTGTCGAAAGAGAAAAATTCTGGGCGGATGGCACTCGTTGCCTTTATAACCGTCGAAGGAATGAAACTGACTATAACAAGTTCCCAAACAGTCAGCCTGATAAACAATATCATACGGAGGATTGTGTGGAGGAAGTCAAAAGAAAACACGATTTTTGGTGGAATGATGAAAACTGCATTAAATTAAACGCATTCATATGTGAAGTACAGAGTTCGAAACAGTCGTGTTCTGTAGGTACGCCAGACGCGCAGACACCTACGAACGCAACGAATATGGCGAAATAATAACTAATACATAAAACACCGAGAAACTCAACTAATTCTGAAAATGCAATAACCTAATTACCTAACTTCGGCAGTATTTGCTGTATCTTTTTGTGAATAGCTTAATTTTGTGCTATGCTGTGTTGTGTATGCACCCAATATAAAAATGCCACGGCGTAGGCTACTTAATTTAAGCCATTTTTTTACCTTCGTAATATTTATTTCTTTACTTTTAACCTTTTACTTTTCGTTGTGTTTTGCGTAAATTGCAAACATTTTATTTTTTATTCATATCATACCACGCAAATTGCAATTTTCGAGTTCTTTTTTACTGCTGCAAGTGGAAAATGAAAAATTAAAATATAAACAGCCAAAGTTAAAATTTTTCATTTCAGTGCTGCGCCATAATATTGTAAATGAACCGCACTGGCACAGTGTATTTTAAAAAGGTATTTACTTTAGAGGGATAGTAAGGATAAGAATGACATGCCAATGTCTGTGCAGATGAGGTTAGCAGTTTAGCTCAGTAAATTGGGAAAACTAATTTTTAAATCAACTAATCAAAATACACAGGCGGTCAGAAATAACATAATCTTCGAATCCCAATTCCTCGTACATTTGCAAAACAATTATTTTGATGTGAAACATTGAAAACTTTTGACTCGCTATAACAAGCTGTCTTAACCAGGGGTCGGCAACCTTTTGTCGCTCGCGGGCCAAATTATGGTTGCAAGCTATTGGCGAGTCGCACACATTTTTAGAAAGTTGAAAACCGAACGAATGATACTTCTTATACAAGAAATCAAGCAGTGATACATCTCTCGAATAGAATATAGATTTATTTCCTCATTGCATTTCAACAAATTCCATTGGAATATTTTTCTGTGCCATTGAACCCTCCTTTGCACTTAACATCTACTTTTTTGAGTTGTGTTACCATTCAAGTAAATATAATTAAATTATAGGCTCATTAATTGTGAATTACATACTTGTTAGATTATAATATAATTTAGTCTACACGTGTCTCACAATAAATTCTGTCGTTTATCGTCGAAACAGACGTTTCGTTACTATAATTCAGTGAAGCGGCGCGGGCCGTAGGTTGTCGACCCCTGGTCTAAACGGCGGTTGCCAAACGTAACTCATCCGACACGGGATTGCTGACAACTAGAAAACGAGAATATCGGTCAGAGACCGAAGACTTATCGATCGAAAGTTAGGGGATCCCCCAAAACAGAAACTGCGGTTTCGATGGTTGGTAGCATAAAAGTCATATTGGGGATGGCAGAATAGGGATGGCGAAATACGGTCGAAAGGTGGCAGATTAGGGATGGCGAAATAGGGACGAAAAGTCAAATTGGGGATGGCGAAATGCGGTCGAAGCGTGGCAGATTAGGGATGGCGAAATACGGTCGAATGGTGGCAGATTAGGGATGGCAAAATGCGGTCGAAGCGTGGTGGCAGATTAGGGATGGCAAAATGCGGTCGATGGCTGTCAGTTTTTGCCAAATCGACTGTCATAATGCGCTGTTTAGTATACAGATAACAATAAACAATTGCCTCAAAATTACAAAGAAATATGGCCAAAGTGTTTAGATTTGGGGCTGATGAAATGGATTAGTACCTGTCAAATTCGGGCTGGGAAAACACAGTCGATGAGTGTCAAAATGGGATGGCGAAATGGGGTCGAAGCGTGGCAGATTAGGGATGGCGAAATGCGGTCGAAGCGTGGCAGATTGGGGATGGCAAAATGCGGTCGAAGCGTGGTGGCAGATTAGGGATGGCAAAATGCGGTCGAAGCGTGGTGGCAGATTAGGGATGTCGAAATACGGTCGAAGCGTGGCAGATTAGGGAAGGCAAAATGCGGTCGAAGCGTGGTGGCAGATTAGGGATGCCGAAATACGGTCGAAGCGTGGCAGGTCAGGGATGGCAAAATACGGTCGAAGCGTGGCAGATTAGGGATGGCGAAATGCGGACGAAGCGTGTCAAATTGGGGGTGGCGAATTAGGGTCGATTCCTGTCAGGTTAGAGATGATGAAATATGGTCGATGCGTGTCAGATTAAGGAGGGCGAAATAGGGCAGTGGGTTGACGGGTGTCATGTTAAGGATGGCGAAATGCGTGTCAGATTTGGAAACGAACATTGTCAAATTTAAGGAACTAATCTGATCAGTGTTTCACATTTTAAAATTCATTTAAAAGGTATTGTCCGATTTTACATCGTGTCTTTATTTTATGATTAATTTTAATGTTTTATATAATATTACATTTTTCTCATCAAGTCTAGAACATTTTTTTTATATTTTTCTGATTAATAATTTCAATACAATCTTTTAATGTTTGATATATTATTACGTTTCTCTCATCAAGTTTTGGGTACTCCTGAAGTATGCGTACCAAGATGTCGCACAACCTGAACCCTAACCTGGTACACAACCTGAGTTCAGGTTGTGCGCCAGCTTGTTGCGCATATTTCAAGAGGTCTGCATTGCCTGGCATAGCATTGTGGATCATGCCATCATTTATGAGGTCATATGTTTTATCTCTTTCGTCATGGAAATTTCAATTTTTCCCTGGTATTATTGTCCCTACAATTTTTTACGCCACCCCGAAGCCTGCGATATTTCTATTCCAAATACTGTTATTAAACAATTCTTTTCAATTACAAATATTTTAAATTGCTCAAGTATATATGTAGAAGAATCCTGTTTTGCTTTAAAATATTTTTGGCATAATTCACGATCACACTGCATGAAGAGTTCATTCTCCGTGTTTCGTTAATTTCAATTCTCAAAATTTCTTTCGAAGTTAATTGGTTTTATAATTTGAATATAACCTTTTGATGTAAAGATGTGTTCGATATATTATGCTATAAAAAGATTTTTATGATATTGGGTGAATTCCTATCTAGAGGAGAGTCTTTGAATAGGAATATACGTTGTAGTATTACTCACTTTTGTATAATATTATTCATGAAAACGCGACAAACTATTTGAACTGCGTAAAAATGAAAATGAGACTTTTGTATAACACTGGCAAAGAATCTACAAAAGGCAAGGTAATTAAACATAGGGATTTTGGTATAAACAGTTCAAAAACCAACTAATAGAAGATTTCAACACAAAATGTTGGAAACCCCCAAATTCATCCATTTTATCGTTTTTCAGAAAGAAAATGTCGAAGACTAGTTTGACTTTTTAGGAATCTTCTTGCATGCTTTACTTCTTGAGGAACATAATTACCATTACTTGGTACAGAATCCAACCCATGTCTTACTGGATAGCGAAGGAGCAACTTATAAATTAATGTGTTATGTGTAACGCAAGTCTTGTTCTCTGTTGCAATTGAATTCCAAGGAAAGACGCATTTGCGACGAATTTTCCGTGCTGTTTGGAATAGGGTGGGTTAGACTTTGGTGCTATATATATCCGCATTGTTTAATATTTAATGGTGCTTATAACTGGCGTAGTTTCGTGCACCGTTATTTCGCGTTCAAATGCGTTTGATGAGGGATTAATTTTGAGCTAGTAATACGTTCAATATTCATATCTAATGATTGTAATATTTGTTCTGGTGAGTATAAGATACAAAAAGCCTTTCTAGATTTTCAATTGAAATCAAATGAAATTATACTTTCAAAAACTTATAGGCGAAATGTTTTGAAAACATTCTGCGCTGAGCAGGGTCTCTATAATTGTACGGACATTTAGCGAAATAAAGCCAGTGAAATACTTCCCTGAATATTCGACATTTACACTGGAGTCAAATTACTACTAATCTGCAACTGAAAATTTTCAACCTAATTGTTTTTGAACTTTACAAAACAATCTCAAACATTTGATGGTCAGAAAACGCTAATGTTTCATGTAGTAGTCAGGGAACACGCAATTTGATGGGTTAGTCTAGCAGGAATGGCGAACCTTTTTAAAGAATTGGGTCGAAAATTATTGTTGTATTGTAGAAAAGAGGACTGTGGTTCGTAGACAGGGTTGTCCAAAACGAATCAAATATTCGAATACATTCTCGGCTGATTTTCGAATAATATATAGTCTCTTTTCATCGTAAACACGGTTTTTCGTTTTTGCGGGAATCTTCAAACGATTTTACACATTCATTTCCATTACGTCAAGAAATTGAAGATTATTCAATGTCGTAATTGTTATGATACCCAATAAATTGTCGCAAGTCGGAAAACAAGTCGATTTATTAGAGGAAATAATCAATACTTTTTCCTGCTTTATGGCAAATAATTTTGATAATGATATTTGAAAGTTTCGACTTTTTACTGGGATGATTTTCTGTTGTGCAAATTATTCATATCCATGACCGATACCAGCATATAAAATTATTATGCGTTATTAATTTAGTTTTGTTTAACGTAACTTATGGTTGCGACGACAATTTGTGAGCATAAAATGTGTAGTGAACTGCCCGATATTATTCATTTTTGATTCCTATTTTCGGATTTACTGAATAATAAAAGTATTATTACTCTGAAATCTACTGGAATTTGTGGACTTAAAATGTGTGGCAAGGTGCCCGAATATAATTAATTTCTGATTCGTATTCACAAAATAATATTACTCAAAAATACACTACACGGACTTAAAATGTGTGGTAAAGTGCCCGAATATAATTAATTTTTTATTCGTATTTACAAAATAATAAAAACATTATTACTCCAAAATACAACGGCAATTTGTGGGCTTAAAATGTGTGGTAAAGTGCCCGAATATAATTAATTGCTGATTCGTATTTTCGTATTCACAAAATAATAAAAGTATTATTACTCAAAAATATAACGGCGATTTGCGGACTTAAAATGTGTGGTAAAGCGCCTGAATATAATTAATTTTTGATTCGTATTTTCAGACTCTTGGAAAAATTGTCCCAAGTCAGAAAAATAATTTATACTTTATCCCGCTTTTTGGCAAATAATTTGAATAATGGTTGGTATTTGAAAGTATGAACTTTTTACCAGGATGATTTTGTGTTGCGCCAAATATTCAAATCCATGACCGATACCACTATTTCAAATGCCTTGCCATATTAATTTAAATCTGTTAACGTAACTAACTCATGATTACGTCGACTTGTGAAAGAATAAAAGCGTTACTATTCTAAAATATATATCGCAGTAATCTGTGAATATGAAATGCCTGGTAATATAGCCAGTTATTCCATTGTTTATTGCATGCAAATTCTTTCGCATATTATAGATAAGCGTTTTTTGAACTTCAAATGTATTCGAAACAGTGAACTATTCGGTATTGGCCACTCGTAGGTAAACCCGCTACCGCAATTTTTCCGTTAGACTCATAATCTTTGACGTTGAAGGACTAAGGTAATATCTTGTACTTGATTTTATGTAATTTGTGTAATA